TATTGCCCTGCATCAAGGCTTGGCTTAGAGAATATTTTTTTAATTTTATTGGTTGGTTTCAATGGCAACGAAAATACCCCCGCTGCAGAAACCTGTAGACTAAGCGAATTCCCATTTACCATTATTTGATTTTCATTGAAATCTATTTAAATAACATTAGGTTTAACAAGTACCTAGGTTTGCTGAACGTGCCACCTGTGGTAACCTACAGTATTTTATTTTTAAGATGACTGTGATATTTTGCATGACATACTGCACTTGTTTCATATTTTTTGCTCCTTAAACTTTAGGCTACTGTTAGTTTAATGACGTTAATCCATTGCATGTGATGTACATAGCGCTTTACAATGAATAAACATTCTTGATTCTTGATTGAAAATGATAATAGCTATTTCACTATAGGGAAATTCGCTAGTAAAACTAGCCTGTTTAAATTCAAGTTACCTTTCTTTTCATACTTTGAGGTTTTAGAATAAAGGGAATCTATTATAATTATAGTCATGTTTAATAGACAAATTAAATTAATGCTGGACTTTTTTACACTCTTTATGCACAATTAAAATGGTCATTCGATCACCTTGCAAAGGACAACTCTTTTCTACATATGGCTGGAAGTGTGTCAGTCTCAGTCAGTCTGTCCAAAATCGTAATCGTCCATTGGACTGACACACTTCCAGCCGTATGTAGAAACGTCCATACCCATCAACTGCTAAGAGGGTATGGCCACATGGCAAATCTCAAATAACACCTGAAGGAAACAGCTGTTTTTTTTTGCAGAAACAAAGTGCCAAAAGTCACTCTCAGATTAAAATACACAGCTGGTCCCTCAACAAAGCTATACACAAGAAATCTCCCTCCACTCATAGAAAAAAAAATACATAAGTATCTCTGTTCCAATGTAGGTTAATTAATTTGCTTGGATTTGAGATTCACAGTTTTGTGTATTTGCTTGTAGACAGTGCCTCATTTCTAGAATATAAGTTTCCTGAGACCTAAAAAGAGACAATTTTCATCATACAGTATTGGTACAGTATTCCACTAATTATTTCCTATAAATAAAATCATCTTTTGATATTCTTGCTATAGTGCAACTAAAGGGTGCGCCAGTTTTTAATCTATACTATTATATAAAAATCTAATGGTGTCTGTCTGTATGTGTGTTAATAATAGGTGCAAAAACTACTGAACCAACTAGGATTAAATTTTACCAAAAAATAACTACCATACCAATTACCATTATAGGACTATTCACATTTCGATACTGACCTTGGCTTTAAAAGTTCTGAGATGAGGATTTTAAAAGTAAATATTGATTGGTCTCCATGGCTGCGATTAGAACACTAATAATGTTTGTTTACATTTGCTTTGACATTTCAATGTAAACAAGAAGAACTGCTAAATTGTATATTTCACAATTTCAAACAGCTGATACCAAGAGGTTAAATATAATATTTTCCATAACTATGAGGTAGGTTTGTTTTAATCTAACGTTTTATCATGGATTATTTATTCTAAAACTGTCAATGATTATAAAAATTAGATTCTATAACCGTTGCTTTATCAACTCCGGCTCTGCTTTGGATTTTTTTAAAGCGTCAAAGTTATGAAAATAATGTTATTGATATGTTTTCATGGAAACAGTGTGAAATTACAATGTATAGATGTTTTGTATGAATTTGGAGGCTATTTTAAATAAATTTGAACTGCTTAACATGTGTTAGATTAACTTAACATAACTTGCATATCACATTGTTTTTTATATGTATATTTAGGTAAATTTACTTATTGTGTTTTGCTAAACCTATGCTTAAATTAGATTAAAGAATATCATCAATAACTAAATTGTACATCATTGATTTTTGTGTTCTAAAATCTGTTGTATATGTGTAACTATGTTTAATTATCAAATGGTAATACAAAGTACTCTTATTTTATCTTAACATAGCTTTCAGTTCACATTTACTTTATTTGATAAATTTATTATTTGTGTTTTGCCACACCACTGATTAAATTAAACCAAGGAAAATATCATAAAACTAAGCAGTTCACAGTGTTCTTTTGTTTCTAAAATCAATAAAATATCTGTTACTATGTTTACTTAATGGTAAGTGTAAAGTGTGAAAATTTTAAGGCAATGGACGATGGAACTGATTAAAAGAACTGGTTTGTACATTATGTTCGCTGATATTTCTGTAGAGTAGAATCAGAGATGCAATGAAACATATACTGGATTTGCTATTACATTTTTTAGTCCTCGATGCTTTGATAATCATATTAGTTCTGTCTGCTGTCTAAATTATTTGTTAACAATTTTTATAGTATTATATAGTTTCTTTAATATTTCAAAAGACTGTATTGATAAGGCACAACAACATATCTAAAGTTTATAACACGTGACTTAGTTTTGCTAATGATTTATTGTGAGTGAAGAAACTGAAGATGGAAGGATTTGTAATCTATATATATAAAAGGCAAAGCCCTCACTGACTGACTGACTCCATCACTAATTCTCCCACTTCCCACTTACATAGGAGGCTGAAATTTGGTACACTGATTCTTTAGGCATTAAATAGGAAAACTAAGTGGTTTTTATTCTGATCAGACTCTCGGGCTCCACCCCAGTGGCTCTGGAGTTTCCCATGTTAACCTTATGAGTACTCATATTTAAATGGAATTAATGAATCTTAACAGCTGTTTCAATTAAACAAGTTGGTTCTGTTATATGATGTTCAATAGCATTAAAGTTACAAGGATTACCAACAGAGTGCAGCACTATTATTTTTTTAAAATATTTGACAACAGCTAATTTGAAACCAAAAGGTGAGTGAGCGTAGCGAACGAACTTCAACCCGGAGGCGAGGTAGCGTAGCGAGCGAGCTAACCTGAAGGCAAGTGAGCGCAGCGAACGAGCTTCAACCGTAAAGGTGAGTGAGCGTAGCAAACTAATTTCAACCAGGACGTGTGAGCGCAGCGAACGAGCTCCAACCTAAAGGTGAGTGAGCGTAGCGAACGAACTTCAACCAGGACGTGATCGAGCCATGCGAACGAGCTCACATATGAAGTTAAACGGGGCAAAGCCCGCGGGTACAGCTAGTACTGAATAACTCAAGAACAAACTACAATTTCATGTATTAAATAACGTTATATTGTACACACTACTATGCCATTTTCATTTATGAAAAATTATATCACTCAGTTTATATCGCCTTCTCCTAAACACAGGCTTTCCATTTTTTGCATATTTGCAGTCACCTTCGCCTGATGAATAGAAGCAATCTCTTCCCTGATACACTGCTTGAGTTCAGGGATGGTTTGAAATTTCGAAACAAACATTTTGCTTTTTAAGTATCCCCACAGCCAACAGTCACACAAAAGTAAGTCTGGGGTTCGAGCTGACCACAGCACATCACCAAACCAAGAGATCACTTTACCGGCAAAGAGTTCACGCAAAACTGACATTGAATAGGTAATTGGCTGTATGACAAGTTGCGCCGTCCTGTTGAAATCACGTGTTAGTCATGTCTATCCCTCATAACATCCGCAGTTGTGGAACCAAAAACCCCCTAAGTATTTCCAAATAGCGTTCCGAGTTCACAGTGACAGGGGGGTGTTCCCATTTTCATCCTCAAAAACATATGGTCCGATGACTCCAAACAGTGCAACACCACACTAGACAGTAACTTTCTTTTGACGACGTGATGTTTTACCAAACAGAACCTAAAAATGGCATAACATAAGCAATCGTTCACTACAACAATGAGGTCTCTAGCTAGTATAACAGCTGACTTATTACAAAACAGAAACCGTCAGGTTTTTGTGGCGCACCCTTTAAAAGTAGTCAGAAGCATTGACTTTTAATCTTTACCGTAATGTTAATAATTTTCTGCCGTGTCAAAATAAAAGTTAGTATCTATGGTTGTTATGGTTTTTAGGTACCCCTAAAATTGATTAGTTGCTTCTTTAAATGTAAGAAACTACTTTTTACTTAATATTGAGCATAGATTTCCAAATTACAGAGAGTAAATAGAAATACGTCTAATATGCACTCAAAACATATATTTACACCTTGTACTGTTGACTAACAATATGGTAAATACATATACAAGATGATAGGTGGTGATCAATTTCGATAAGACACTCCAATCATCACCAGACCAATAAGGCGGATGATTCAGGTCTATATCCAAAATCGATCACACCACTTTATCTGGTATATGTATTTACCGTCTTGTTAGTCAACAGAACAAGTGTGAATGTGTGTTCCTTCAAGTGTTAATTTCCCTTTACAGGCAAGACAATTAATAGTCAGTAAGCTAAGCTTCTTATTCTTATTATGCCAACAGCAAAAAAAAAAAAAAAAAAAAAAAAAACAACAACAACAAAACATATTTCCATCTCAATGTTTCTTATTCTCAAAGTATTTTATTATCACCTAATTTATAATCAAGTAAGAATGGTTACTCTCCACTATCTTGTTCAAAAGTTATATTTTTTATTTTCAGCTAATGTTTCTAAAAAATGAGTTGGATACAAAGTTACAAATTTTTTTCCTAACTAAGCTAAAGTTATGAAGCTCGGTGAAATTCATGAGGTTGCTGGTGTAATGAAAAACAGGTTAGATTCTGACACACATGCCCATTTGTCATTGCCTAATCTATACTCCGTTCACAAAACTTAGGCAGTTTTAGGGAAAGAAATCTATCCCCTCCACATCTTGACCTTACCATTAAAAGCTCAACAGCTGAGATTTGTAAAAAAGTTAATCAGCTGCAACAGAAAGCATGAACATTAAGCAGAAAAAAGTGGTGGGGAAACATCCCTTCAAACCACCACATTGTGAAAATAAGGTCCACATTAGATTGTATGTGTTCATCAGTGTTCAAACCTCCCACAAAGAAAAATATGCCAATGATATTAAAAACACAAAATTAAAAAAAATATAACAAGTTCTAGTCAACAAATCTTAAGTCGGGGAACATTTACCTTTTCATAAACACAGGTTGAACAGTTCATTAACATTTTATTTACATTTAGTGTTACAAATTTAAACTATTGATTTGTTGGATCTAGAGTTTATAGGTCGGATCGCACTCCGAAGCCCGGACCTGGGGGTTCTCCCTTCAGTGAGGTCAGTTGACCGATCGGCTCGGCTGCAAACCTGCCATTTCTGGAACAAAACATCAACACGTCACGACTAGTTTGACTATACAACAACTATTGTATGAGGAATAGCATGATTATTTGGAAAACCAAATGAGAACAGAGTTTGGTGTAAAAGGAAAGATTGCATGGCAAGTGGTAAAAGTGCTTGCCTAACGATTGCAAGGTCCAGATTGCATTTTACAGGGTGGCTAGTGAAATCACATTGAAAAATTCCCTGACTTTTCCCTGACAATTCCATGATTTTTTTAAACTTTCCCAGATTGACAAATTCAAAATTACTATCTTAATCCTAACCAATTCTTCAAAAGGACTAATCTTTATCTGAAGAATATCTTATATTTCAAAAAAATACATAAAATCTATAGATACAGGATAGCTTATATTAATTTGTACAAAAATACAAAATTTATTTGTACAGACATATTTTTTAGTTTTCACCCACACGGCATACATACTCTCACCAGATCGACCTTTCCTAACAATTATTAAAATTGTTTTAAACATTTTACAATTTTCCCTGACTTTTCCAGATATTTAATATTCCCTGACATTTCCAGGTTTTCCAGGTCACTAGCCACCCTGATTTACCTGTCCAGTCCACATAGACTATGGACCCGTGCGTGGATGGAATGAAGTTTAGCAAGGGTTGAGCTGGTACAGTAGTCGCAGCTAGTCTGGGCGCGCGGCCGTGCTAGGGTGGGGGGTGTAGAGGGGAGTGTTCATTGCTCATTTCCAAAAACATCTGGCCCACACGGCTCTCTGGGGTTGTTCAGTGCCTCAGCGTTGTCATCATGGCTTTGGCGTAGGAGACGGTTAGTACATAAGGGTCCGCACGCCCAGACTAACTGCGAATATTGTACAACACAAGGGTGAAGTGTACTGATATAAAGTAGAGGGAGATACCAGGATCCGAAATTCGTGGTCACCAAGAAGACCAGATGATAAAAAGAGTATTGACAAGGCAACCAATAGGACAACGGCCTCTGGGAAGACCTTTCTTAGATAGATTGACCATGTGCGATGAGATCTTAGGAAGTTGGAATAATTACTAAATAATTTTTTCTAGTTATACAAGGTTAGGAATGTTAGTAATGCAGAAACATACTTAGTAAACAGTAAAGCCCCACAAGTCAGTTAATTTATCGGCCACTTATTGTTCATTCAGATCTCAGTCTGAAATCCGAAGGCATTCCTGTTCACTACCAGAGCCAAATCGAGTCTAGCAAAGAGCGGTCGTTTACGTTATTCGTTATTTTTTGTGAGATGTGACAACCAAGATGCAAATTTGATGCTTTCGCGTACCATATTTGAATATTGACCAGAAACGGTATGGATTAATAAACATAAACAAATGACGTCACTGGCCCAAATATTAATAGGCCTACTAACAGCCGTAATAACTGGTTTGGGCGTTTTTTGACAGTTCCATTTTAATATTAATGAAAACGTGTTTACTTTCTGGCCAGTGACATAATTTGTTTATGTCTATGACCCATACCGTTTCTGTTATAATATTTATTTGTGCTATGTAGGTATACAATTTTGCTAGCCCGTAAACTTTTACTAACTATAGTGGGGTCCGCCAGCTAAAATCTCCTCTTTTTTTACAAATTACCATATGACAACCCTAGGTAGAACACAATGACAGTGTGAATGTAATTTTGCTTATTTCTATTTGTTTGCAAACTTTTTTTAAACATTCACCTTATGCAAACCAGCTCTAATTGTACATTAAGGATATTTCAAACAAGTAATGTTGAATGGTAGCACTTCGAAATGAAAAACTAAATTGGAAAAATCAGGAGATGCTTTGGGCGTTCTTTTAAACTTAAAATTCAGAAATTGTAATTTCTTTCAATACACTGAAAAAGCAAAAAGCAACTTTCCAGTAGAAATGTAATAAAATATAATACAAATATATACTACCTTGGTCCAGGTTTAGGTTTCTTTCCAGCTTTCAGATCATCCAAGATTTCTTCAGTGTCCTTGACACTTAAATCCTCCTGTCAAACAAAAAAAAGTTTACAATAAGAACAAATCATCAAGCAAATCTAAAATAAGAAAAAAATACAATGAAAATAAGACATCTTTAATGTAAAACTGTACCACCACAACTGTATCACAACAAAAAAGTCTATAAGAGACGAAAGAATTGTAGTAGCTTGTACGGTGTTACTTCTGATCTCAGTGATAATAATATTATAAACAGTAAAACCTTGTTTGTCCTGTATAGATGGAACTAGGGTCATAACTGATAAATTAATTACAAATTACCATATAAACCGATTTTTGAGATGTACACAGTTAAAAAACGCCTTCAGAAAGTCTCTGCAATACTTGCAATACAAGAGCGCGTTGTTTGTTGCGTTTCTTTTGCGAAGGCTTTCTTATTTAATCAATTCTTTACATGTTAATTTTGCTTTAATTTAAGTTTTTATTTAGGTGAAAGCCGAACCTTTGCGGATAAATGAATACCGAATAAACAAGGTTTTAGTGTAGAAATAGTGTGACAATCATAATTTAAAATTTTTTTTATTATCTTGTTTTAAGTCTTGGAGCAAAGTCAATCTTGCTCAAACAAATTAGATTTTTAAAATCTTGCAAATTTCTCTGTGTGGATTAATTGAAGGTTTAGCTTTTCCTAAATATAAGTTGATATTCGCTAAATGACAAGCAGGCAAACACCCTTCCGTATGTGCAAAAATTGCCGTATGTGCGGACCCACCTTACGCCCTAAGCTCAAGTGTAGCAGTTTTAAGATCCAACTAACTCCAGAATTATGCATGATGCAACTTCCAACTGTTTTTGTTCACTTTAGCCTAAGTTTTCAGACTCGTTAGGTTTGGATATGCAATTTTAGATGGAGGATACATGGTCTTTTCGGGCTTAAAAGGTTTAACAGTTACTTCAACTACTCAATTATCCAACGATGGTTCAAGAAAACCCCAATAGAACTACATCAAGTTTTACGATAGATTACTCACGTAGTAGTCATCATTGATCTGGACCATTGGAGCGTTGACACAGGCTCCCAAACATTCCACCTCTGACAGCGTGAACAAGTTGTCCTTAGTTGTCCCTCCAACCTACATTGAAACAGTTTGTCACATTAGATCCAAGAGGCTTAGTAGTGTTTTACACAGTTTAAGAGATGGAAATGTGGAAAGCCGACACCTCGGATGATACATTGACATCCCCATTCCAATTTTTAAATGTAGCCTCAAAATGAAAATGAATGTAGTTGAATGGGTACTACAGTAGAACCCCTCATATCCGACCATGACGGGACCAGGGCAAGGTCGGATATCGGGAGGAGCATAGCCTGCAGTCTACGCTACATCTGTAATCGTCTACCGCGACCACGACAACCTCTGTGAGTGTAAAGTGCAGTCTCCAGCCTTTCGGTTAACCGATCGCGCTCGGCGTTAAGTAGACTGCAGACACTAGGTCGGATATCCCGAGGAGTCGGTTATCCCGAGTTTGGATATGAGGGGTTCTGCTGTATCTTGACAGAGTAAGCTGATGTACAGAGAAGTAAGGAACAGAGAAAACACTCCATGGTAAACTTAACTGGTGTCCAGCAGTAGTTATGTTGTTCCATCTAGAAAAGGTATAAAGTTTCAGAAATAAGTAAAATTATAACCACTTTTGCACTTTTATAAGGGTCACGGCTCACGTGGGGGAGTAGAGTTGACGCAGCTTGCAACAAACAAGATGTTTCCAGTAATATTATTAACACAACTTCCCCACACCCTCACGAGACTCATGCTGCCAGTGAACAGAAAACAATAAGATCAGTAATGTGACAATGTAATTACACATTCTGGTAGTGTTCAGTGGGGTGCGATTGTCACTGTGGTACAAGAAAAGTTATTTCACTAATTACGTGGCATACCAAAGCGTTTCTCTCGTGCCAGAGTAGACTCTGTCCCATTTAGGTAAGCCAGCTACACTCGCCAAAGTCATTATATGAAGATTATTTAATTTGGTCTGGATTCATTTGATAGCTGGGTTAGCTCAGCGGTTATAGTGCTCACCTCAAAAGGTCACCGGTTCGATCTTGAGAAAAGTGTGTAGCTTTTTGATTGTTCAAAACAGGACCCAGCTGTCCGTAAATACCAAGGCAAAAATGTGGTTCGGGTTCCACTATAAACTGTGGGTCCCTTAGTTGCCATTAGCTGTATGGGCTATTAATTAACAGCTGTGTCTAAGGAATGTCGGCCTTAGTCACTAACAAGATTACAAGATCGCGCCACTCATCCTACACTCATCTCCATTCATACTTGGCTTAAAATACCTACTTTGTATGGTCACCATTTCACTGAACAGTATTAACAGTATTAAATTGATCATTGGGCTTTCAATAAATGGTCCTGACTAATGAAACAGCTGATTTTATTCAGTAACAAAGCTACACAAGGCATCAAATTCAATTCTACACGCATCTTTCACTCATATTTGGGTTAAAATATGCACATAGGTAGCGTCCCCATCTCAAATGGTAATAATAATAATAATTTGCATTAATCTAGATGATATGGTACCTAAAATAGTTGGGTTTAGCAAGGGTTTACTGTACAATGATGTTTAAAGACAAAATAACATTATTTCACGTTACCTCAATGTTAAGCTTGCTCTTGATACAGTTGAGAATGTCGTCAGAGCCTCGCAGCCAACACGGAGTAGTGGTGCAGATCTGTACGTGATACTTCCCAATAGGCTTCCTGTCAACACCACACAAATGATACTTCATGAACGTTAAATTGCTAGAATCTAGGAATGAAAAATATTGAAATTTAATCTCAGTAAACCCACATATCCTTGATCTAATGCTTGTGACCTGATAGGTATCATGGTAATGTCTTCCACGCTAAAAACCCTGGTGCGATCGAGGCAAAATCAAGTTCATTTCCCATGGCCGTGTAGACATCATCATTTTCTCCCGTGGTCGCGATACAATCTAGGACTTCTTCCGCGATGACGGATGAATGGTGACAACTACTACGTTAACAGAGAAATAGCGAAGATCTTTTGAGATCACTCAGATTTCAACAACTCCCGTGATCACGGCAAAAAAGATTATTGGTGAAATAAATTTACAAAGAAGAAATATTTGAGGCCCCAATTGAGGCCCCCGGCAACTGCCATCAGGGAAATACGGGCCTGGATGACAATTAGTTTTTTCTGCCCTGTACTAAGACTTGTAAGACTGTGACTGTGTAAGACTTGTTGACCAATGCAAACTGAAAGGACAACATCTGCAACTATAGGATCTTTTATGACACGTCAATCATCACATTACACTAGACTAAAGGTAAAAATAGAATTTCAACAACAGCACAATCTGTTAGTGGCTCATTTGACTATTTTCTATTTAAATAAGAAAATTCATTTCAGTTGGTTTATATTGGTGGGATGTCCACTTTAGTGTCCAAAAATCAAAGATAAAACAATCGACTTGACAAGGTACCATAAAATAAACCACAAGACGATTTTGCAAGGCTTACCTCATAAACATGGTGTAGAACGTAGCCACCTCGTACACCCGCATCTTGGGCATGCTGAGTATGTCTGCGACTCTGTGCATAGCGGAGATGGGCAGCCACCCGTGCTGGCGCTGCGCCAGGTCCAGTAGAGGAATCACGGCTGCACGCTTGTGGCCCTCGGGGTAGATACTCATGATAGCCTCCACTCTCTGCACAGTCATAGCATTGTGACAACACATCCACAGCAATATGTTTCAAGGAAAAAAAGAATATAACGTTCACTAGGGAGATTTCAGTCCTTGTGTAGGACTTCTTCAGTTTGGATATTCTCATAAAACTGTATCAAATTCTGATTCTGAACATAGAATTATATCACTCATACTACATCGAGACAGGTACAAAATATTGTAACATGAAATACAATAATTTAGGCCTATAAGCTATTAAAAAATTATATAATACAAATTTAATAATTTTGTTTTACATTGCAGTGTATACTAAGATGATTAAGAAAAATATACTTAGTAGTTTGTTTTTACCTTGTTTCATTTTAATCATAGGCTAAAAGTAACAATACACACACAACAACGAAAAGTTTACCTTCATGTTATCCGGAGTGAAATCAAACTTGACATCTGGATTGTTATCATCCGAGTCTCGGTGCTGGAATTAAAAAATACAGCTTAAAAAAGTGATTGTTTATGATTACATGATTCAACAACAGTAGTTTTCATATCGCTATATAACACTGTGTTAATGTCAAATATACATGGTAAGTTAGTATAGGTTGTCTAAAACACTGTATACTACTTAATGTGCTGACCATTTGTTGCGCAATTCTATTGCATAAATTTAGACAATTTGGGTCTTACAAAAATATAACTTACTATTTGACATAACTTATTTAAGCCCAACTTAGTCTAGAATCTAACAGACTTTCCGTAATAATAATGTAAACATAGTAAAAATTTGTTTATTGTACATTGTATAGTCTTTCAAACATCAAATACCGGTAACGTTTTGTGAAAACACTAAGTTATACATGTTAATTATTATATTTTGTCAGGTTTAAATTGCTTTGATAAAATTTGACACGCAGTAGTTTTGTTTAACATCAGTGTCTGAATTATTTTTGTGATATTTCCTAGGATTTAGATATGGAATGGTCAACAGAGTACAGAAAGTTAAACACCAAAGGGCATTTTAGCAACAATAAGTTTTTTTTTAAAGCTTGTTTGTTGCATCAGGGAGTTTTTTGGGAATCTGCGAAAACAAAAACTCATATACAGTAGACTCCCTCTTATCCGGACACCTTTTAACCGGACATCGGTTTAACCGGACTACACTCGACGGAAATGACATCTCTTTAACCGGACAATTTTTATCAGCACATTGGTTTAACCGGACTAGATCGGCAGGAAGTGGGCGGTACTGAAACAACTGTTCTCGTGGGAAAGATTTGAGACCAGTGATCACATGTCTTAATACAATGCTCTCCTAAATTTAAGTCAAATATCACCGTAAACGATTTATTGGGAACGTCGGCTTAACCGGAAAAACCGTTATCCGGACTGGCCTCGGTCCCGAGGAGTCCAGGTAAGAGGGAGTCTACTGTACCACACTTCTACATAATTGAGTTCCAGTAGTCTCTGCCCCTAGTCACTAAGTATGGATCTATCTGCCCTGCACTGGTGAGCATTCATACTTACAATTACAGTACATGGTTGCATCTACAATTTAGGCTGGGTACAGTGAGCAATCCCAACTCCCTGAAAGCATTTCTACAAGAGTCTCTCCTCCGAAATTAGCAAATTATCATCACTGCCTTTTTCTGCAGTTTGAATACTCGAAGATTATACAGCAATACAGTCTTATTTTATAGGAAAGGAGTGGGTAATTAGACCAAAACAAGCCAATAAAAGTACTTCATTTGTGCAAAATACGGCAAGGTTACATAAGACGAAATTCCAGATGTTACCTAGGCACAATAATTGTGACATGCAAGGTCATTAATGTTTTTAAGGCGCGATTATTACAGGTTTATCTGAAAAACCAATTCTTAGAGTGTCATAGCTTATTAATATCTTTCATAATCATTATTAAACTACTGGTAGGTCTACACGCCCTAAAGTAACATGATCCTTACCACAAACAGAGCATCATGTCTACTAACAGCACTAGTTTGCAGGGTTCTTACTGCAGATATCTGAAATGAAAAGTGGATTAAACAAACATATAGGCTAGTCTAGGAATGTGTTAGTTACAGAAACATCATTTAACATAGATAACAAAAATGGCATTGGCTACTGATACTTAAAAAAATCACAGAGGATATGCGTCCGGTAACCGGACGTGGATTAGGTGTCCGGCAGTGACGTCAACGGGTTGTGGGGCCCCGAAACACCATTTCCACAACGATACGAATTACAGCCAGTTGGTGTTCGTGGTGTAGTGGATAGAGTGCTCGGCTGACATGCAAGAGGTCCCTAGTTCGAATCCCGTCGGTAACTTTAACTTTTTGTCAAAGATTTTGCTTTGAATGCCATTTCTTACATCTTTTGTTAGAATTTTTTGCATTTATAATTTTATTTTATGAACAGAATTTTACCTTCATTTGGGTTTTTCATTATCAGCAAGTTTAGTTGGTTAGGTTAGGTTAGGTTATGACAGTAACTGACGGATGCCTAATCCCCGTCGGTTACCGGACGAGTATCCTCTGCGTAAAAAAATAGTTGGAATAATTTTGAGCTAAGTTATACAAATTTATCAACATGGATGAATTAAATTTTATCCCTTCATAAATAGTACAAGCTAAGTTATTCCTAGTTCTAAAGTCCACCCTTTGACTCCAGGCAGTAGCCAAACTTTCTGATGATTGAGGCAACATTTTACGAAATCCCTAATGCCTAACTTACTGTAGGCCTACTTACCTTACAAAGAACACCCTTGGCTGCACTTTACTTTAGGTCCTACACTCATTCGAATGAAAATATCGATCGATATACCGATTAATCGATTGTTTCATTCGATATATCGTTTGGTTAGTTAGGTAAGGTTAGCCTAACCTAACTAACCAAACGATATATCGAATGAAACAATCGATTAATCGATATTTTTATTTGAATGAGTGTAGGACCTAAAGTAAAGTGCAGCCACACCCTTTAAGTGATAATTTACATCAGTTAAGATTACCAGTTGGCATTTTGACATGAAACGATAAGGAATATGGAAGTACAGTATTTGAAACTAGAATAAACACGCAGGGTGAATTTTTCAAGGTAAGTTACATTTTTAATATGAGAGAGTGTAACTAAGTTAAGGCCTAACTTTAAAAAGCTCATCCCAGTGAGTGCTTCCAGCCCCTGGGTAACTTACTTTCAGTTGTCTTATTTTCAATCCAATTTCGAAGTCTAGGTTGCGTAATGCTATATGTAGCTAATGTTATGTTGCTATATGTGTAGGTGCTAGTTATGTAAAGGGATATCTAATAACAAGTCAGCGATAACGATAACCAGGAGACTTTTTACCCCACACAGGATGTTACGTAACAATGGACCTAGGTACCTACATTTTTATGGCTTAGGCCTACATCAAACAAAATTTGAAATAGGCTAATTTAATATTGATAGTTGGTTAAATTTAAGTCTACTAGAGTATTTAATCCAATCTTAAATCCAGTAGGCCTAACTAGGTACTCAGGTCTAGTAAACAATTCTGGCGAATTTAAGGTTTAAAATAAAAGTACAGTAAGGGCCTATGCTGACAATAGTATCCCCAGTAAATTAGTAGGTAAGTACAGCATAACAAACAAAATAAGTTATGTATTTAATTAGAAGAAAACTTACAGGATTCAATACAAGCCTTCTTAGGGAAGAGAGCATCTTGAGAAGGTTTGATGATACTGTATACTTTAAAATTAAGACTGGTTTACGTTAATCTAGAAATTAAAATTTCTTGAGTTTCCCTAATCCTAGAATAGTTTTCTTCGCGTTCTTCAAAGTGTCTTAAATTGAAAAGTGAAATTATTCCTCGTTAAACTCTTTATCCTTGTGATGATTCTAAAATGAAAACTCAGAAAACACGAAAAAACATTGGGGTTAAATTCGTCTGCTTTTCGAATTCCTCGACCTCCAAGTTTGCTAAAAAAGGCCCTGCATCGGTTAAATAGTGGTTAAATACTTTTCAGCTGTACTATAAAAACACTTGCGATAACTTAAATATCCATGAAATATGTAAATGTAAAATATCGGAAATTCTTTAAACAAATTTGCTACACAGTAATATCATTGTATAATCTTAGATTAAGAATAATTACTTTTGTAGTAGCATTGTCCCTCGAGTATCCTATAATCAATGGTTTAATCTGTAAATATTCTTTTTTTTTGTTTGATCAGAGTCAGCACGTAGAAGTTGTCACTTCCAGTTCCAGCTGATGGCTATCAATAACTCCATTGTTGGAGTTGGAATAGAATAATAATATAATCATACCATTTTGCACAGTTGAAACTTGAGCTGACCAAATCCTTTAGTGTTATTGATTGAGCAGTGCTTCAAGGGTATTTTTATTGACCTGTTGCTAACAACATAAGTACCTACTTAACCCTGTAACATAGTAGTATACTTTAATTAATAACAGAAGTAAGTTAAAATATTGATAATTTTATAGAACTAGGTTCCAATCATTGACATGTCTAGTTTGGAGGTTCAGCAGAAATGGGCTTTAAAAAAGTATGCAATATGGGAAAATGAGTGCTGGAAGGACATCCAAATTGATGAACAACATAGTTTCTTAATCCTATCTTGTTCTCAAATAATTATTGTGTCTAAAGACACTTGTTTAGAATCTTTGCATTTACTCGGTGGAAGTGGACAGATTGAATTGTTTTACGCAAACATTGAATTGCATGTAACAAAGAAAACAACTGGTACATCAAAATTTAGAATACAGTTAGCTGATGGTTACAGAAAACAATCAGGCATTGAGAACTGCTTGGAAGTTACTAACAAATTGAAGGCATTTATGCCAGTTTCACACTATAGTTCTTATAATACACCTCAATCTGAAGAATACAAAAAACTTTATGAATCTTCAAGGAAATTGTTGGAAGAAGGAAAATTTGATGCTGCCAGTACACTTGAGTCATTTATGAAATCAAATACCTCGAAAGATTCAATTTCAAGATTCTTGCTTGATCCTCAAAGTTCCATGTTAGTGAACAAATGCTTAGGTTTTATAAACAATAAAATGAAGTGAAACATCAACTAGAAGGTTTTGATCAGCTTATTGTCCCCCTTCAATTTTAGCCTGTGAAGGAGACCATTATATAATTTTAAAGAATTAAATTGTTAATTTAGCCGTTTAAAGTACAGTATGGAATAAAGAACTCAACAGTAAATCTGCGAATATGATTTTCTTTAGTATTTCTGTTGACTAAATTCCTTGTTTACTTAAACTCTCAGATATTATTGGTTGTGTAATAGCTTCTTTTTGTCTATGGTAATAGTATATTACGTTACTAGTCCTGAAAATAAGTGTTTACCGAACGAGTGTGGTCGTTGGTCGTTCGGATTACCATACGAGTCCGGTACACAAATTTTGGACGAGTTAAGTTCGATAGTTCACGCCATACTACTAAATCTGTACAAATCCTTATATATTTCCACCAACTAAAGGATTAAAAATCACTAGTCATAACGTTTTTGTTAACCATTCATTGCCACCTAAATACACTACTACTCACTAAATACACTAAATACTTACTATGATCAGCTGATTGGTGTCCGGTAAAACTCATTACAGTACGAGTAGTACGCAATGAAACCCCATTTGAATAAGCTGGCGGCAAACAGCTGTTTTCTGGACTTAATCCTTGCGTGGGGAGTTCGTCAAAATAATGTAGTGTGGCGTAAAATATTAATCATATTTATTAATTTTGAAAACTGAGTTTATTATAATGATCTTTACCAATTAGTCAAAGTAACAAAAAACCAATTTATGATATAAATAATATGTAACTTAGATTAATAACGTTGTCCATATAAATGATTTTGAATGATTTTACATGATCCTTTTAACACTTTTGTGACTATTTTTCATTTTGATGGAAGATTATTATTTTTTTTAAATTAATCTTGTGTCTTCTACCTTTTACATCTCCCTATTTCTATTATTTAATGAATACAGCAATATAAATTGTTGTAGGCCTAAAGGTTGTAAAAAAATCAAGTCATCCATCCAAAACAAAAATAAACTGAAATAAAACATTAAAACCTGGCCAAGTGGCCAATACGTGCAAGCATCTATGCTGAAAGGGTTGAGTTGTTTTGTGTCACCCATGTTGGTAGTTGTAACTTTAAAAGAAATGTTTAATTTATTTTCATTTTGTACCTTCTTCAATAGTTCCGAATGATCTACCCAACTTGGATATAGATGGCTAGATTTTTTGTTACACTTATAGGTAGACCCTAGCAGTCGGAAACTATAAGCTTAGTAGTCTACTACCATACACAAGTAGACCCCTTTGTAAAATCTAAAGCTTCTTTTTCATGTCTAGTTCATTTTAGTGACACTGAGTGCTAGCGTCGACAAAATTTTGTTTCATATATTATTTTATTAGGGTTGGTTAATTTTATGTTTTATGCTTTACTGTTTGGTTGGATAACCAAGGGACGAGCCAGTGGCGGATCTAGAACAGTCACAAGGGGGAGGGGGGGGGGGGCAACCAGGGAAAAATTTGTCTAAACTAAGTCTCCAAAATGGCAGTTTTATACCATTTCTTTTTCAAAAGTTAGTGTGACAAATTATTTTATATTTTACGCAATGTGTATGTACTGCTGTATTACATGCTGTAAAAATATATGTATATATGTATATGTATATGCTGGGACGAGCTATTGTTTATGATTAGATCGTTTTATTTGACTAAACAAGGTTGAACTGAAATACCAAGAAACAAAAACCTGCCCGTAGAGGTACAGGAAGGAACCAACACTATAATTGTCCTTAGCTGATCCATAAGGATGACAAATCTACTAAGGGAGTATGAACCATCCATGGAACTACCATAGACAAAAATAATTAAATAAAGACTTAACAGCAGTGCTGCGGTTAGCATATGTTCTGGCGTCCAGCGCTAGAAGTGCCGTGTAGTTACGGTACACACTGCTGTAGCGCCCGCTCTTAGCATAAGGTCAGGATCTAACGACGGGAGCGAATCGAATACCGAATACGCTCAAATATCGCAGGACCTTCCTTTGACAGTCTATATTTATTATATTTGTCTATGGTACCTTTGCCTATTGATACAACTTCTGTATCCAATAGTCAATGGTATTACTAACTCAAGATAAATTGCTGGTGCAAGGTAATTTAAACCGTTTTAGGATTACCATAATTGGTTGGTACAAAATTTTAGACCCATGATAACCATGGATGTAGCCTAATAACAGTCTCAGGTAAAAATGGACCAGTCTTATAAATAATCTAGTTTATTTACAAACAAAAAACAAGAAAATCATAACAGTGCCATAGGAAAGGTAAACAATTTATTTCCAGTCTTACATAAACACTGAGTAACACTTAAACAGAATGTATCGGGATTTTCTGCAACATGAAGAGAAAACTCAGCCTGTAACTTTGGTAAAATTGACTCCAACTTGTGTTGAGCATCACCGACAACCCAGAGTACACTCATGTGAAACTGGGGGTCCTGTAAAAGAAGGCGGAAAATAAATAAAATAAAACTTCAGTACAGGTACAACATGATAAGTTATACAACATTTATCAATTCTTTGTTTGACAGTTGTAGCTGGTGATGGTGAATTTAATATTTTCAAAATAAATTACATCTTCAGATCCATAATCTGATTCCATTTCAGGCGAGATTGAACATAAAAAAAAATTGAGAAAATCCGACAAAATCTAGATGTTAGTGCTAATAACGTAAAAAAACACAGTTCAACTTTATAATAGTCAGAATATCGATAAACAGCCCAAACAAGTAAATAATCAACAAAATATGGAAACACAATCAAATTGGTAACCTAGTTTGTAAAATAACTTTAAACAAATTTCTAACATGCAATTCTATACAAAACTTAGTTAGGACAAAACTGCAGGGCAGTTTTAGTAAGTGGACCCAGTGGGCTTGGACCAAGGGCGTGAGGTAGAGAAAAAACTCACATGGAAGGGGAGGTTGTACAATTATCTCTCGGGCTCATAGGGTGTCTCTTGCAAACTGCGGGCCTAAAAGCCCCTATGCCGTTGCTGAGTATTTCAGAAAACTAAGCATAATAACAAGGTTTACGGAAGCATTACAGAACAAAGTACAGTGGAACCTCGATAAGAAGACCCTTGATAACAAGTCACTCTTGATAACAAGTGTTTTTCAAATCCCCTTGAATTTATTTTACCTCTAAACACATGGTATTGCAAACCTCAATTAGAAGTCAACCTTGATAACAAGACTTATTTTATAATCCCATGAGAGTCTTGCTATCAAGGTTCTACTGTAACTGTTGTCAGGGGGTATGGTATGACCTAGACCCAAGACCGATTCACTTTTTCATTTAATGTCCCCAGAGATCAAAACACTATTCCTTCAAATTTTATATGAGTGTCCTTGAACACAATAACTCGATTGTGGTCACATTTTGGTGAAATTTCGCATGAATATGTAGAGCATGATAAATTTAAATGAGTCCACAAAATAGCAACATGGGGTAATAAAAAAGGATGTTATAGTTTCAAATAATTTAAAAATTGGTTTTAGGAAATTTATTCTCTTAAAAGGTGAAAATGTCCAATCTATCTATATAATTGATACAATAAAATTTTTTATGCCATACTACACTGTTTTAACAAACTTCCCACGTAAGTTAGGATTTAGTCCAGAAAACATCTGTTAGCCGCCAGCTTAATCAAATAGTGATACATTATGTACTACTGTACTGTAATGAGTTTTTACCGGACACCAACCAGCTGATTATATTTGGCAATGAGTGGTTATAAAAACATAACCTCTCTTAGAGTTTATGAATAGTGATTGGTACCGTAGTCCTTTAGTCGGGAATATATAAGGATTTTAACAGATTTGTTATTGTTAAGTTAGCTTAGAGTAGTATGGCGTAAAATATCGTACGTACTCGTCCAAAATGTGTTTACCGGACTCGTATGGTAATCCCATACTCGACTTCGTCTCGCACAGGAATGAACACACTTGTCCGGTAAACACATATTTTCAGGACTAGTAACGTAATATAGTAATTCGGTAACATCTCTTTTTCACCCCTCATTGAAACAGATTTTTACAATTGAGGTGTCATTTCAATGCTTAAGTTTATAATCTAGCGGAGGGACGAATGATGATTAAGAAGGTAATTTCCTGTAGGACTTTGGCCCCTTGCCTTTAATTTATTTAATAAGTGTGATTTCAAAGATCCAGTGATAGGCTACTGACCTATTTTATTTATAAGGGGTTAAATGTGAATTGTAATTTGAATCTGACAAGTTAAAGGAAATATTTTAGTATATATCCATTCAGGCAAATGGCAATTCCTTATTCTGCAGGTTTACAACAGCAGGATAAATTTTAAATGCGGCACATTAATCTCTGTAGGTGTACATCCCAAAAAATTCCATAATCTAATAAAAAAAGTTCCTTAATAAAAAAATTAAAAAAAATAGTAAGTTACTTGCTTCATAGAAAGGAGGTAACCGGAATTCCGCCAAGCAGCCATCGAGTGCATGAGCCATATCACATAGATGTTTGGAGCCAGATTCCACTTTCAGTCCTAAAAATGTTCTGGTGCGCTCTTCATTGCAGTAAACAGCGGGTGGACCCAAAATTAATGTGAATCTAAAACAACACCTTACCAACGTTAGTATTTTTTTGTCATCCAACTAATAATCCAAACTAACATCATAGTCTAAAATCTTTGTCACAAAATATAATCTTTCTTTTTTTAAATAACTTCTTGATCAGCATTGTATGTGTTATTCAATTTACGGAAAGTAAATAAAAGAAACGTGATGATGATTGGAGTGTCCAATCGAAATCGATCAACATTTACCATCTTTTATGTAGGTATATTTACCGTCTTGTGAGTAACAGTATAAGCGTAAATATATGTTTTAAGTGTTATTAGATGTTTCTTTTATTTACTTTCCATTCTTTTTTTATGAAAATGAATGCAGAATTCTATAGTAGGGCCTATAATTATCTTGAAAAACAAATTGATAAATGTTTTGTGATTTAAAACAGAAATCTTGTTTTTGAACTGACTCTGTTATTGCATAGTTACTGGTAAATAGAACTAACAAGTCCAAAGCAGCACTAGAGACCCAAAAATCTGCAGATATGGGGTTGAGTCCAAAAACGAGGTTATCAACCATGCTGTCATTGATGGTATGAAAAGAGAAAGTCAACATACACCTAGCATCCTGACACCTGGTGTTAAGTCAAGAAATTACACACAGAGGCAGATTCTAGAAAAAATTGTCTTGGCATGCTTCGATCAACAGTCCCAAGCAGAAAAAGCTGTTTTGAGGTGAAGGGGGTCAGGTCCTAATCAAGTAATAAATTGGAAAAATACTATATCACCACACAGTAAGCAAATGGTTTCTGTGCTCTTTTTAAACCAGAAAATTAAGGGTGCGCTCTACCCGTCTGGCGCGCGCAAATGTAAGGGTTTTAGTTCTTCCTGATTGTAGCCCCAATTGTGAACCGATTTAAAAGATCTTGGTGTCATATTTTCCGTCAAATGTTATTGTAGGTTTCCCGTTTTTTAAAATTTTGATAATTTAAAAAAATTTGGGCTCAAAGGTTGGTGAAAAATGTAAAAAGAGGCGTTCTTTATCATGAGTTTTAATACATAAAAATAATTTTTAGAGAAAAAATAAAAAACGGGAGACGTGCAATAGATTCTTAAAAACAAGAACCTGGAATTAGTTTACTAAAAAGTTGAATGATAACTATGTAATCACGCAGACTCGAAAGGCTTGCAAGCGCTCTTCAAGGCGCCGTGCAGTGGCGCGGCCATGCGGCCAACGGCTCAACCCGTCGTCGGCTCTCCCACCACAGCCATCGATCGATATTTCCCCTCCTCTCGGTTGATTCTATTCTATCTTTGCGTCGTCGCCGTTTTTACGCATACTAGTGTCCCTGCTGCTCGAATTCGAGTAATTGCTATATATACAGGCGTTATTTTAAAACAAATAACAGTCATAATTCTGATTACTTTAAAAGATTCTACTCAAAGATTATAACATTTTTAAGATGTACATAAGAGATCGATAGAATCAAAATTTCTTATAAATATCTTATCACTCGAGTCTGACTCGACTCGTAACTCGAGTTCACGGCAGTTGGCGAGTCGAGTCACTCGAGTCAGGAAAGTACCCTACTCGTCACATCACTACTCCGCAGGGCACTGCACTGCCTAGCGGGGAGCGGCAGTCAACTCGCGAACCTCCTAGCTCCTCCCACCCCTTCCCCTCCAACTGGGTTGAACCGACACGGCGCAGTCTGGCGGACACTTCGAACATCGTTCTGAGATTTCCGAGCTGAGGTAGAGCCCACCCTTAAATCGTTATTTAAAGAAAACGGACGGTGAAATCTGCTGGAGTGTGGTAAATTTACCCTCTAACTTATTTACTTTTTAGTTTTACTCTAACGGGATACTTTTTTCAAAAAGACATGAGTTACTTCAGTAGGTAGGCCCTCAACAAACCTACATCACACAATATTAGACATGTTTGAAATGGTACATTGAACTTTCACAATAAATATTGAAAAGGGTTAAAAACGTTACTTGTTAAAATTAAAAATTAACTTATGTTAAAATCATGTGTTAAAATAAAATAGAGTGGAATAATAAAGCCATGAAACAGTCAATGTAGGAGTTTAATAGGCCAATTTGTTTTTGGAATTCTGGTAAATCCATAACTCCGAAGCATAGGTAGGCTAACTCTGATTTTCCAACTATACTTTTTTTTTGGAAACTAATAAACTAAAAAGTTCATAGGTACTTTACCTTGGAAAATGAGAAATTGCCAATCGTACCGAAGAGACAAAGCTTTCAATCCAATGATGCAACAGAACAACAGTGCGAGTGAGAGAAATATGTGTTTCTTGAATTGTCTTCAGTTCTATCCCAGCTTGTTGACCAACCAAGGTTAGGCCATCTACTAACTCTTCAAATCCTTCGCCAGGATCATCTAAATCAACAAACAACCTTTACATTTTTATATTAATTAAACTTTGATTACGATGTCAATGTTACATTAAATTAATTTATGACTTTACTGAGCCCACAGGTGATAATTATCACTGTTTGTGTCGGTCAAGGATCCATAAATGGTCCAGACTTCTGGAACGACGCCTACAACAGCCTCCTGAAGTCCGAGATGCCTCATGAAACTGTATTCGTTCGGTATGCAGATAACATTGCAGCTTTGATAGCTGCAAGTGGCGTTGAGCTGGCCCAGCAGAAACTGAACCGAGTCATGCATACCATCAACACATGAATCGACCCGGTCTCTCATGTACTCTGAGTAAAACCAAGAATGTGATTCTGATCAAAAAGTGGATTGTATCGTCGAGGGTGGGGGACGTTGTAGTCCGGACCGTTTGGGTGAGCCCTGAGGGGTTAGGTCTTGCGTTGGCCTGACTTGAAGAAATGTGACAAACAATCCCTGGACTGTGTCCAACAAAGTACAGGATTTTTTAGTGAGAAGTCTGATCAATTCACAATTCTCACAATACTGGAGGCTCCTGTGTGCGTAAACACATATTCCCTCCTCTCTTAAAAAAGAATTAGATTAATACAAGGCCTACACACCAGGGCATATTTTTGGGTTGAAGGGTTGTAGGATTAGTGTTAAATTATTGAGATAATCACATTGTTACAGACTAAGGGTGTAGCATAGAGCACAAGGGCCTAGATTTTTAGGATTTTTTGAGATTTGTATCCTTGTTACAGACTAAGATCATCAGGGTTTTGTTTTGAGCCATCAAAACGATTCTAGAACTTTTCTCAGGACCAAACCTGTAAACTTCTCATTACTGTACTACCGAGATCTATATATCCACACAGCTACACAGCTATATATTTAGAACGTTAATAGCAGTCGATATTGACCTTGCTGTACCTAGAGGGACACGTTCTAGAACCTCCTTCCAGCGTCGCTCTCAGCCGACACTTTTCGCCTACCTCAGCAGTCTGTCCAGATTGCATCGACTAGGGAGTCAAATTGCTACACACATAGATTTCTTCTCTGGATCAACTGCCTCCTTCAGAAGTCGGGTCGGCTCTGTGCTGAGCCAGATTATGTAAAAGTTAATTTACCTTGGTGGTGCCACTAATGGGCCACAAAAAGTACAAAATTAAACAAGTTTAATGTTTATTTTTAAACGTTTCTGCTATTGTTACTTTACATTTCTTGCTGCTTATTATCTGTTTATGCTGTTTATTGCTATTTCATATTTTTATTCACTGTTATTCATTATTGTTGCGGTTTTGTATTTATTGTTGGTTGTTATTTCACGTCTTTATCATCTCTGTTTTACACTGCCTCTCTAATCTTAATCTTAATTTCTTGTTTGTTATATCCTTTTTGTTATCAATTTCTAGTTCTATTCTGCTTGTTATTATTGTTACTCATAAGACTGAATTATTGCCTGTATCATAAATGTATTTATTATTATTGTATAAATGGTGATTACCGTTGAAATAAATGAAATGAAATGAAAAGAAATGAAAAGTATCATTTGAAATGTATGTGTAATCTTTAAACACTTAAGAGGTGCGTACAGGTTGTTTGAACAAAATATATACAGCCCTAACTTCTCAAAGAGCCATGGGATCTTAGCACAACAATGGACACTTTGAACAAATGTCTGTTGTAGCCTACCTAAAAAAACTAGCCTATTTGAATTTTACTTACAAGGCACAAACACGTAAGTTGACCAGTTCCCTCGCTCGTGAGGAAAGGAACGTATTCTTCCGTCATGAAGAGTAGGGTTGTCTTGTGGACTTTCATTCGGAACACTGCTTTTTTCATAAAGCTGTGATATTGTAGAAGGTAAGGGTAGTCTGTATTCAAAAATAAAATTTGTCTTTAGTACATCCTAAAAGAGAACCAAATATCCAATTGAAACAAGGGGATTGGTTCATATCCTGACTGTGAGCAAAGATGTTTATATGTTAAAGTTATTTTAATTTCATACCTCGCATGCTGTACATTGTTACCTACTATTTTGTTTGACTTGTGTGACAAACAATCATGGGTATACAATCCTCCTCTTAATTAGGCTAATTTAATCAAGTCTTAAAACAGTGATAAACACTTTGATACATGGGCTATTTTAGGCTGATTGGTGAATGGTGATTGGCTCATGTATGGTGAAAAGAAGTGGAATAAGCTTGGGAAATTCATAAAACTTAACATGCAACATGCTACAACAATGTTTTGTAGGTTTATAGTATAAGTGAGCTTAGGCCTAAATTAAATGTCACCAACTAATGTAACTTACTTTTTTACTCAGCGACTTGTTTTGTTTTGTGTGTTGACTACACCAATGGTATTTTTTACATTTTGAAACAGAACGGTCCAAACCCTGGTCTTATCAGTATCAAACCTCAAAATTTTTGTTAAATGATGGCATGACTTGAAATGATGAAATGATGGCTTAATCCATAGCCCAATAAATCACATCTGGGTCTGGAAACGATCTCGCTTGGAATTGAACCAGTTGAGACGTAGGAATTGGCTAACTCAGGAACTCGCTAACTCGGTCGTGTGGCGGAACTGGCTAACTCTGGAACTGGCTAACCGTCTCAGTCAGGAATTGGCTAACTCCGGAACCCGCTAACTCGATTTTGTCTCGCGGCGGAATTCGCTAACTCTGGAAGTCGCTAACCCGGTCGCGCCCACTGCTCGGAGCGTTGCCAACCTTGTACGACAAAATAATCGTACACTAAAATGTCAGTGTCTATAAAGATACAGTAAATGTTATTGTTTTATGTTATTAATTCCACTTTTAACAGATAACTAGCCCAAAGTAATTAAAAGACAATTAAAAAATCATGAAAAAGTTTTTTTTATTAAACTGTACAATGGCCAGTTAAATGTTTATGATTTCGATCTTAAATATAAATGCCATCAGTATAAAAGAAAAAAATAGAATATGAAAAATATTCAAAATTTAGTTTAATTGGTAATAAATAATTAAACCTCTACGAAATTAAGCTAAAATACACGCAAGTTCTTAAACACGGAAAACAGATTTAATTGTAATGTCGTAATAAACCAAACCATTAATTAATACAGTCATCAACCATCGTAACTTTCATAATTAATTCATAGATTTTAAATTAAATGTTCGTCGTTGAATCGTCCAACTTACGTGTACAAATATGATGACATAGACTAATTTTTTATCTAGGCCTAATAGTTTGAACCAAAGCATTGTAGACCTACTAGTAAATAGTTGCCTAATTCTAAAATGTGTTGAATTTTTTAGCAATAATGTTACATGTTTTAAAACAGTTTTTAGATTGTACACCTAAGCACCACTAGTAAAAAATAGGAGAAGATATAATATTCATATAATAAAACGTGACAGGGTTGTTTTAATTCACGATTCTTAATAAACTAATTGACGGATTTTCCTGATTTGAGTGTTGGGTTTCCTTTATATTGCTTTCACAAACGATATAAACTATACCAAGCCATTGCTCGGTTCACCGTTCCCCAGTACTGAGCTACACAATAGACAATAGCTTTGTTTTTGGATAAGATAGAACCAGCCTGGAAAAAACTCCAGACTTTTAAAAAGTAAGCCTACTGAAAGACGTAAAATTAATATTAATTCAACAAAATTAAGAGGATGACCCGGGTTCTACACTAATAGCCTACGATAAAAGAAATTTACAAGTTGTATTTATGCATAGACTAACTAACTTTTAATGCAATCCATGAATACATTAGGCCTACCACTTTATAATGTATTGATAAATATTTATTTAAATTCAATAGCTCTATTTAAAAATACATTACCACTACAATGTAATTCTGTAATGACGTTTAACGTGTAAATTTTATTATGATTTATGATTTAAGGTTACTACAAGCCCAGTATATAAAATACGAACTCAAAAATTTTATTTGCAGAAGTTTACAAAATGGTACCTATTTATTCGAATAAAAGAAACAAATGGCGGACTACGAAAATAGATATTTCATAACATGTAATAGATCCAAATTAAATGTGCATTTTTATCTTTTTCATACCAATAAGCTACTATTTAAGTAAGAAACCCACATATAAAACATACTCCCTTATATTAGTACATTTCTCATCCTTACGGATGATCTGAAGACAGTTGTATTGTTAGTTCTGTCCGGTGCACTGTCTTTAGAGGTCGTGTTTTGTTTACAATTGTTTCTTGTTTTCAGTAATTTAAAACCTCGTTTAACCAAATAAAACGTTCTAATCACAACTAATAACACGTCCCCTAGTTATATAACCAAACAGTAAGGAACAAATCATGAAGTTAACTATAAAATAATAGAAACACAATTTTGTCGACACTAGCGATCAGTGTCACCGGACATGAACTAGACACGAAAAACGAGCTTCAAAGTTTACAATGGGATGTAAAGTTTACTTGTGTTCGTTAGTCTATGCTTAAGACTATAATGCATTTTCCACCCTAATAATCATAAGAACTTCTCTGTGGTTAAACATACTTCAAAATATATTTATTTTATCGACTACGTTGCTCTTACTCCTAATTAAGCGTAGGATACGACATTATGGTGCCGATACGATATAGGTACTACACTTTCGGCAACACTGGCCAAAAATATTCGTGCTTGGCTCCCATTGGACGGCCCGCGAGGCTTCTGATTGGGAGTTAGCGAGTTCCGCCGAGGGACCGAGTTAGCGACTTCCGTACGAGGACGGAATTCGCTAACCCGGCTCTAGAGCGGGTTAGCGGGTTCCGGAGTTAGCCAATTCCGAAACCGAACAAGTTAGCGAGTTCCTCTCATCGACCAAATTTGAAGATAGGGCATTTAACATGGGGTTAGCGAGTTCCAGAGTTAGCCAATTCCGCGGACCCAACCAGTTAACCCTAGCAGTGGCCAATGTTAGAAGTGGGGAATGGCCAACCCATTTTGGCGATTTTGCAGACCTTTTTTTGAAAATTCGTAAAAATTCAACCGTACAAGTAAACCTAGCCAACCTCATATTCATTTTGTTCGGAAAGAACAGGAGAATCTAGAAATAGTAATATCATAATGATTTAGACAGTGTATTTTATCGGTAAGGTGAAAAAAATAAAAAAATTTGATTTTTTTTTTGAAATTTCAAAAGCGGCCTCGGTATTTTTTTTCCTACGGATTTTTTATGGGAAATTCATTATATACATTTTGTAGACATTCTAATTCCCTACATAGAAATATATAACATGTTAGGAAAATATTTTTTTTTATAAGTTTTTGGGGCGAAATATAATGACAAACGGAGAACCGAAAAAATTGAAAACCGTACCGTGCTAGTTTATGTTGTAAAAAGTTCTATAATATATGTGTATACTAATAATGATATATACATGTTTGTAAAGCTAATGAAGTAAGGAATAAAAAAAAGTCATAAAGTTTATGGTAAAAATAATTTTTTACCTATAAACATACGTAGATAAAATAATGTTTTTATATTTTAGCGATTTCTCGAGAAAAAAAATTCACAGTATTTAGTATACAACTTTTGTACCAAATTTTTTTACTTCAAACCAACATAACAATCTTGTAGTGTATTCAATTACCTACATAAAAATGTATAACATGTTAGACATATTTTTTTTGTAGGTACGTAATAGGGACATAATAATACAATAACCGCAAAACCGCAAATAAGTGTAAACTATAGCCTACAGTGTTTGTTTGTGTTGTGAAACATTATGTAGGCTGATGATATGTAGCCTACATATTTGTAAAGCTAATGAAGTAAGGAATCCAAAAAAGACATAAGTATGATGGTAAAAAGTTATTTTCACCTATGATTGTGTATCAATTTGAGAGACCTTTTTGAATTTTTTGCGCATTTCGAGAAAATGGAGTGTACAGGATTTAGTAGCTTATATAATTTTTTGCCAAATTGTTTACACCCAAACCAATATAAACATGTTGTAGTGTATTCATTTACCTTTATAAAAATGTATAACATCTTGGGTAAATCATTATATAGCATATATAGCACCTCTGAATGTCAGAATCATTTTTGGACATGATGCTAACAAAATACAGGAGTAGGCCTATTTAGTATAGGCTATAACTTTTTTACAAAATTTTTTACCCCCAAACCATTATAAACATGTTGTAGTGTATTCATTTACCTTTATAAAAATGTATAACACCTTGGGTATATCATTATATAGCATAGCATGGCGAACTAAGGTCCGTCTCGTACAACAATCTCTGAATGTCAGAATCGTCATTTTAGGACATGATGCTAACAAAATATAACCTTTTATGAACACTATTTCACACAATTCAGTAATATTTATGCATAATAAAATGCATGAAGATTACTGTTATACACACACACAAACTTCACTAACACTAACACTACGAACTAATAACGTAATTAGTAATAAATCGCAGATAACACCAGAGCGAACACTCACGGCAACAACAAACAATGGCGAATACACAAGACAGCTGTAGCAGTAATGACTTACTTCCGTCGTCTACATGCGAGCATACAGAATTAACCCTGAGTGCAGGGCTGCCACTCTCTGAATCTAAATTTCTTCCTCTTCAAAATGATATACTATATGACTAGTAATAATAAATTACACTGTATGTATTTCGTATTTTCCACATCGTCACCTGGAGTCGATTGGCCATTTGTTAAAAATTTCGAAAACAGCTGTTTTCATAAAATCGTACCGGTTGTGCAATCAATATATCGTTATAAATATTACTACCACAATGAAGATAAAATCAATGGCTATCCAGTGGTACCACTCGCAACATCCTACGACGAAAATTACCCAAGCAGGGTAATGCCAAACAAGACGTGTTTTGCTAGTTCCCAAGTGTCGGCTGCAAAAGTCGTGCCGCGTCGAAAATTCATTTGATTTCTAATCGTCGTGACATTGTTATATACCTGCTACAGAGTTTGTTTATGTAATAAAATGAAAGTTCAGAATGTGATCTTTCGAATGGTATATATATTATTCTCATCTGAGTTGATTGTAAGTGTTTTTTTTACCGCTAAAAAATTTTTGGCCCAGATCGTCACAAGGAGTCGTTGGCCATTCTAAGCATCAACGTCAGATCGTCACCAGGAGTCGATCGGCCACTGCTAGGGTTAAGTAAGTGCACACCCACTTTATAATGTTTTAATAGCGTAGTTTCTTTACTAGGCTAAGTTTTGCTAATATCGATTGAAACTGTCGATTTGAATAGTAAACCTTAATTCGATTTCTTCATCAGCAAGTTTGCTTTAGTTAGGTTAGGTTATGACAGTATCCATTTTATACCCTTGATGAATTCTTGAATTCAACTATTCTAATCTAGCCATTAGATTAAGCTTATTTAGCTACCAACCATTACACTCACTTTTTTATGTATTTTACATAATCTGTGATTTTGTGTGTTTGATCTAGGCCTATTTTAAGATCTAGCCCTAATTTGACTATGCCAGGTGCAGTTTCTTAACTGGGCTAACTTACGCTAATATTGATTGAAACTATCGATTCGATTAGTAAACCTTAATGCGATTTTTTCACCATCAGCAAGTTTGGTTGGTTAGGTTAGGTTATGATAGTTTAATTTTATAATAGATATATTTTAAAACATTAATTATTAATCAATATTTTCAATTCTATACCTAGTTTCAATCAATATTAGCGTAGCCCAGTTAAGAAACTGTACCCACTATGCCTAATTCAATAAATGATTGATCAATGGCAATCAAGATTCAGATTCTGATACATAGTCTTACTTAACGAACGATGTTAAAATAAAGAGAAATTTTGACGAAATTGTCTACTTGCCTATTTGCATCCTGGTTCTTACTAACAGGAATGAGGTTAGTTGACACATTTGAACAGTTTTCAGTTATTGAAGTCTCATCTTCACTATCACTGTCACTATATGTATTAATAAGCATCAATCCAGATTCTATATTTTTCCCAGGCATTGCCATCCCTCCAATTTATTTTGTTTTAATTTTAGGTTTAGGTTCAGGTTCAGGGTTTGTTTGTTGTCTACTTTTCTTTTCATCTGCAGAGTTTGTTTACAGGAGGTTTTTTGACAGGCTTTTTTCTTCTGCCTAACCTAACAGCCCTAACAGGCAAGACTTGGCATAACAGTCTACGGTGGGGCACACGGAAGATTTCTCAGGTGCCGTTTGACGTCACTAACTGCTGCGTCTGAAGAAACAGACAATTAATTAATTTTATAATTTTTCTATTATTAAATTGAACCATAGATAATTGAACTGTCATAACCTAACCAAACTAACCAAACGTGCTGATAATGAAAAAATCGAATAAAGGTTTACTAATTTAAAAAATATTTTTGTTCATAAAATAAAATTATAAACGCTTAAAATTCAATTTTATAATTTTTTTATTATAAAATTAAACTGTCATAACCTAACCAAACCATCGAAGTATATAAAACAACTTGTTGTGTTATATAGTTCGATGAACCAAACCAACCAAACTTGCTGATATGAAAAAAATGTTGACAAAAAGTTAGTGCTTACCAGCTGGATTCGAACGCGGTACACTCGGATTATCAGCCCGACACGCTATCCACTACACCACCGAGGCCGATGGCTCAACACCGTATTGTTGCGGTAATGGTGTTCCCTCAAAGTGGCGTCAGCAGTTAGTGAGGTCAAACGGCACCTGAGAAATCTTCCGTGTGCTGTTTTGTAACAGCCTAGGCCTAGAACCACGGCCGCCTTTACTACAGGCCGCGGCCTAGAGTTAAAGGCGGGCGTGCTAGAACCCTAGAACAGAACAGCCATGAGTCAAAGGACAGGCTTAAAAGAATCAAGTACTAAAAATAATACTCAAATCACCGATTTTTTCTATTTTTTTTTAAGTTTTTCTAACATTGAATGAATCAATTATGAAAAGTAGACTATGCATACAGCATAGATCGCAATAACTATAAAAGACTAGATTGCATTATATGCTCTGTGCTGGTTATTTCATTCGGCTTCTTGGTTTCAACGGAGTACTGTCGTTATCTTATCAAGGGAATATATGTCTATATATATATATATATATGTCTTATCTTATACATGATCTTATACATATCAGGCTACACACAGGCTACACCCGTGACAAAATTCACTAAATCACTGTCCTCATTAGCAGTGGTGGTTCCAAGGGAGGGGGGGCTACAGAGGGGCCCAAGTCTCCCTCCCCTAGCACCCTTGCTTTGATAAATACATTTAAACATACCTTTCATCATAAACCCGTAATGGATGTTTTTTTGACACAGTCAAGGACGTTAATTGCTTTTGAAGTCACCTGCTAAGCTTTTATAGTACCGAATTTCCCAGGGGGAGGACCCATTGATCCTTTCTAGGGGGTGTGAAACGAAAACCCTTGATTGCCCCTCTATTCATTAGGTCCTAGAACTGCCACTGCTCATTAGTTTGATTTTCAATTAAATTATATTACGTAATCTGCAGAGGCGATGTCATATTGCATATCAAAATTACATTAATTTGGTGTTATTAGTAACGTGAATCATTAAACATCTCCGTACTTTCATAACGGGTACATCGATGGACCCCGCATTTAAATTGAGCAATAATTGTAAATAAATGAAGATTTGTTTGCCAGTTCTTATAAATAATGTGCACACGGTAGCTCCGTATGGAGTGTAGCCTACGGCTGCAGCAGCTATGTCAGTGCACCGTTAGGTGGTCGTACTGATACACGAGCTTAGTTCTGAACATTAAAGTGCACGATCCGGTTGTACTTATCCTAAATTTATGAGATACATTGAGTGAGAAGAACAAAAATGTAAGATTGCATCATGGACAGTAAATAGTTCGAGGGGGTTGTGTACAAAATAGTTCGAGGGGGTTGTAGATGAGTGTGTTAAAATTAAACCAAATAATGCATAATTGTCTTAAAAACTAACTGACAGTTCTTGACAGTTGTAAAAAAATGACAATGGTTGTATAAAGATTGACAGATTTTTCCAAAAAATGCGGCTGGACCGGTGATTAGAGCATGGGACACGGGGCTCCTATGTTGGAGGCACGGATTCAAATCCCACACATTTTTTGTGTATTTTTACGCCAGCGGCATTTTTTACGGTTTGAAAGGGAACAGTCTAAACAAACCCTGGTCTTGTTACTACCATTGCATTTGAATAATGCAAGTAGACTTACCTTCCTACTATCTCTATCGCAGAATCTTAATCCAGTTGGTATCCGTGATGGATTTGTGTAAATTAAATCTAGAATACAGCGATGTTGAGCTTCTACAGCTTAAAGTTTTCCGTATATCTTTCGGTGTTTTACATTGCAGTTATTTCGTGCTTTACTGTTTGTTATAAAACTGGTTTAAATCTATAATATTTGTTTTCAAGTTTGTTCGTTTGTTGATCTCCTCTCGTCCTCTGGCACACAGTTAATTGTTGCCTTGGCCTTCTACAGCGGCGCAGCGCGTCGTCTCTTTTTTTCTCTGTTCTCTTGCTTTCTCTCTCTCTCTCTCTCTCTCTCTCTCTCTCTCTCTCTCTCTCTCTCGTATTCTCCCGTCTCCGCCGCGTTCCTCGGCGACGGCGTCCACTCATTCCACACGGCGCCTCTTTTCTCCGATACACCGACACGACAACAAGCGTCACGGTCACACACAAAGAAAGGTTTGTTTTTATTATTTATTAGTTAGTTGTTGTTGTTGTTATTCTTGTTGGTTGGAACTTGGAACGTTTCAGATTAAGATTAATACGTCAAATTACTTTCTCTTCATCTTGTTTTATACCGGTTTCGCTTAGTTTTACTTTGTCGATCCGATAAAGGATTATTGTGTACTTCTCAGGTCCAAACAAGAACGGTAGGGCTTAGAAATAGCTTATTGGTAAAACTTAGGAGTGACGCTTTGGTTGATCTATAGATATGGCTAGAACATCGGCTAGAGCTAAAAAGTCCAAACAAGAGGTAAACAAAAAGAAGGAAGAAGCCAAAAAGCAAAAAGAAAACAGTTCAACAGACAGTGAAGGAGCAGGCGAATCAACTGATAAAGAAAATGATAACACAAACTATGATGTAAGTAAAGCAAATGCAATTTAGGCCTATTTCTAGTAAGAGGGTTCGAGCTCATTTCTTAGTTAAGGTCCCTTTCTTAAGTTAGGAATAAGTAAGTTTTGCCTGCATTTTAGTTGGGAAACATTGTCTTGTTATGTTCATAGGTCTAAGTAACTTAAACAGGCATCTATAAGTAAGCAGCCTAAAGGCTAAGATTACGCAAGTAATTTCTTATGTATAGCCTAACTCACACTAGGCCTATCTGGTCCCGTTTTAGCTGGGTGAGAGAATTTTCATGATAGCAGTGGCAGCGGAAATAAAAAACGTGAAGAAAAGCAGAAGCGTTTTGTAGCTGGGTGTCAGACGTGACTGTTGCCACAGAGTGCCATGTTGCTCTTAAGACCAATAAGTTACAGTAAATTGTCTTGTCCTAACCTAACCCAACTCAACCTTACTTAATCTAGTTTTGGTAATTTTGGCGCTAACTCAATTTTCTGCCGCTTTTCCGGCTGTATCTCCGTTAATAACTTATCCATTTGATTTGAAAATTCTTGCTAATTCTTGTTTAACTCGTTTTTACTGTTAATTTGAATACCCACATATGATTGGTTTACGCAGATTTCTTTTTTTTTTCGCCGACACTTTTCAGGCTGTTTCTCTCTTTAATATCCATCGGATCCTGAAAATTGTTGGATATTCTTGTTGAGCTCGCTCTACTGGTTATAATTTGAGTAAGTACCCGCAATGTCATTTTTGGTAAAAATATGTTTTCGGGGTACCTACCGGTATTTCCTATATTCCGGGTAACTTACTTAAACGGGTCGTTTCTGAGAAAAACAACAACCATTTTTTGGAATAAAAGTGAAAATTCAGACATTTTAAAATAAAAATTTAAATTTCAGGTGAGGTTTGGAGGTTGATATAATTACCGAGATATTGGCATGACCAACAGTTTGAATGAGCCCAAGTTGTAATACACGTTGTAATAACTAAGATAAACTATTAAGTTAGGCCTAATCTGTGAAGATGAAGCTACGAGGAACGCAAATAAACGACCCAAACTTACAATCCGAAGTCTAAGTTACTTAGGGTTATAATAATGCTGTTAATTTAAGTACCGGTAACAATCAAAATTGACTAAATTAGGACTAAGTTAGTTGATTTATGTCAATCTATTTGTAACTTTTTCTTTATAGGCTAAAGTAACATAGGCTACATATTACCCTTCCGGTTTTGATTCTCTCAGTCTTCAATTGGGCCGTAAATGGGTAAATTTTTAGGGTCATAAATGGGAAAAACATAATTTTACTTCAATCATAAAACCCCCGTAATCCTCCGTTCCCATAGTCTGATAATGCTGGTCCACTAACTCGTTCAAATAAACGTAGGCTTACACGTTTGCACTGAATTTCATCAAACCGGATAGTTTTTACTTGAGTTATCGTGGTAAACTTGAATGGACCTATAGCCTATATACTGTTTATGTATATTTAGGCCTACATATATGAAATTTAACGGGTGGTGTTTTTGGCCTCTAGAGACATAAAAAAAGTAAATCAGTCCCTGGTCAAGGTCATACCATGAGACCCAACTGTACGGCGATAGCTTATTCCCTTGAATGGGAAAATCACTAAAAAAGTGCTGAGTTGTTTTAGATGTTGTTTTAAAGAAGCAATTCATTAATTTGTGACTAATTAAATTTATGATATTTACAGGTTGAGAAAATCACTCATACCCGTATCTTCAAAGGTAAAAGGCAATACCTGGTAAGATGGAAGGGTTATACAGAAGATAATGATACTTGGGAAAATGAATCTGCATTACAATCCTGCAAAGAAATATTAGATGCTTTCAAAAAAGAGCACCTCGGCGAAGAAAACTCTGATGATGAGCCTCATGAGGAAGAAGAAGACAAAAAGATTAATGAAAACAAAAGAAAGAAAGTTGATAAGAAGACATCAAAGAAGACAAAAAAATCAGGTAAACCATCAAAATCCAAGACAGACGATGAAGATGCTGGTACTGAAAAATCAAATGAAGAGGAACTCAATGAAGCAGAAGAAGAAGAAGAGCCTCACGAGGAAGAAGAAGACAAAAAGATTAATGAAAACAAAAGTAAGAAAGTAGATAAGAAGTCATCAAAGAAGACAAAAAAATCAGGTAAACCATCAAAATCCAAATCAGATGATGAAGATGCTAGTACTGAAAAATCAGATGAAGAGGAACTCAATGAAGCAGAAGAAAAAGAAGAAAGCAAAGTAAAGGGGAAAAAAGGGAAATCTACAAAAGAGGTTGAAAAAGTCGCTGAAAACAATGTAGAAAAGAGTCATGATGCCAAAGGGAAAAAAAGAAAATCTTTGAAAGAAAAAGAAATAACAAAAACTAAGAAATCCAAAAAAGATGATAGTGATGATGAACCGGTAACAGACGGTAAGAATTATGAGGTAAGTTCTGTGACATTAATATTTTTCACCATTCAATACATCTAATTCTTCAAGTGTTTCCTTTTCAGATAAACACTAAATTAGTTAGGTCTCAATAGGTTTCCGTTTAGCTTACACACTCCTGATTTGGATGGTATATCATTAAGTCAACCAAACAACTTTCAACTTCTTAAATCTTTTTTTAATTAAATAAGTACACAACTAGTCAATAGAATCATTCATGAGAAATGTCAGTAGCTTTTTGATGGTTTGAAAATTTAAACTAGATCCAGCTGTTCCTGATAATTGGTATAAATAAACAATCAGTGGCTAAGGAAACAGCTAATCTTAGTCAGTAACAAAGCCACTAAAGCCAGGAACACAGATGATCTCGCACCATTCTACATTCATCCTTCACTCATACCGGCAGGCCTATTTGAATTTTAAAATATGCACCGAGGTAGCGTCCTTCTCTCCATGATTGATAACGGACTTTTCGGGATCGAGGCCAGTCCTGATAATGGGTTTTCCAATTAAACCGACGTCCCCAAAAACTCGTTCAAACGGACCATTTAAATGCGTATTTGACTTAAACTTAGGAGAGCATTGTATTTAGACACGTGACCACTGGTCGCCAATCTTTCCCACGAGAACGGTCGTTTCAGTACCGTCCACTTCCTGCCGATCTAGTCTGGTTAAACCGATGTGCTGATAAAAATTGTCCGGTTAAAGAGAAGTCATTTCCGCCGAGTGTAGTCTGGTTAAACCGATGTCCGGTTTAAAGGTGTCCGGATAAGAGGGAGTCTACTGTAGATTGTAGGCTACTTTGAAGCTGTAAGTCCACGTTCTTGTAATACAATACCCCTGCCGCAACAAATGTGCAGACTAAACAAATGTCCAGTTTATAGATAAAATCAGTATACAATACAAAAAAAGTTTAAGACTAAACAAAATGCAGGCCTAGACTTTTTGGCCAACCTATATTCCTGAATGGTGTCTACTCTCCGGGAAATTCGGGTAAACCGGGACACCTCCGGGAATTTTATCTTACCTTGAAATGTCCTGGAAAACTCCAGGAATCCACCCAAACCTTCGGGAATCCGGAGCCCGGTCATCGGAATCGTCGGCTAACCGAAACACTACAGCTTTTGTTTTGAGACAATTATCGATGTCGCCAAAACCGCAAGATATGCTCACGGGTATTGCCACGATCCTGGGAGACGATTATCGGTGACGCCGAAATGGCAAGATATGCTCACGGGTATTGCCGCGATCGCGGGAGAGGATTATCGGTGTCGCCGAAACCGCAAGATATGCTCACGGGTATTGCCGCGATCGCGGGAGACGATTATCGGTGTCGCCGAAACCGCAAGATATGCTCATGGGGAATGGCGCGATCGTGGGAGACAATTATCGGTGTCGCCGAAACCGCAAGATATGCTTACGGGTATTGCCGCGATCGCGGGAGACGATTATCTGTGTCTCTGAAATCATAAAATATTCGAACCTGTATAAAATACTTTTCTTTGGAAAAGTTTTGTTTCAAATTCGAATAACAATAATTATTAATAATAATATTAAATTATTATTAGCGGGTTGCGATTTGTTGAGCGGGTTCCAATAGTAGCTCTTAAAATTCAGGAATTTGTCTTGAATTCTCCTGGAAAACTCCTTGAATTTTTTAACCAGGTTTAGCAGACACCATGTCTGCCTTTAAGGATATTGCTTATCAATTTAAAATGTAAAACTTTACTCCTAAATATTTTATTCTTTTAGCGAATTTCCCATATAGGGAATAAGCTATTACCGTAGTACTCATGGTAAGACCTGGACCCGGGACCGATTTTTTTGTTCGTTTTGAGGTCCCTAGAGGCTAAAAACACCATCCGTTCAAATTCGTATATATATATATATATATTTATATATATATATATGTGTCCGTCAGCACGATAACTCAAGCAAAAATGATCCGATTTTGATGAAATTTGGTACAAACGTGTAAACGTACGTTTATTCGAACGAGTTCGCGATCCAGCATGATCGGACCATGGGAACGGGGGTTTACGGGGGGTTTATGGGGTAAAAATAGGTTTTTCCCATTTTTGACCCAAAAAACTTAAAATTTAGCAATTTCTTTCCAAACCATTTTGTAGAGCTTAAAAAAACAAATAATTTAGTATATTGAAGTGTTATTATGCGCCTAATGGTCACAGAGAAAATTCCAAAAAATTGTAAATTTAAAATTCCCATGTTATTCTTATGGAGAATAAGTAAACTGTTGTAGTTTGCTTGTTTGTGAACATATTTTGATCAAATTTGGAAAATGTTTTTATTTTTTACTAACTATTCAAATTTTACAAAAAAAAAAACAGTTTTACCCTCCCTGATGCAGCAAACCTAAGTACTTGTTAAACTAATTCTATTTAAATCAAGAATAAATGTTATAATTTTAAGTAGACATTTCAGTGTAAATCCAATCAGTCAAATGGAAATTCGCTTAGTCTGCAGGTTTGCTGCGGCGGGGGTATTTTAATTTTGAGTCCATCTCTTAAAAAAAAAATTACTTGTGTCCATTAATCCTAACTTCTTTTACTATTTTAGGTGGAAAAAATTCTTGAAGTTCACACAAGAAGGGATGGCACCCGGGAATTCCTCATCCGATGGAAGGGATACAAACCCGCAGACGACACTTGGGAGCCTGAAGCACATTTGGATTGTCAAGAGCTCATTGAAAAGTTCATGGAAAAGGTTGATAAGGTAAGTTTTTGTTTTTAGAGCTTTTGGTTGGACCCAATGAAGAGAAACTTGGAGATGGAGTCATACTTCATACTGGCTCCTCAAAACTAAATATTTTGGACTATTTGCAACAAGATTGTCAGTCATGCTGATTTTCAGAATCTAGTTTTTGGCATCTAGATTCACACTGCTGAAGGGGACCACCAATAGAATTTGTACTAGACACAAGTGACTAGATGCTAGACTTGACTTAAGTGTACCATTGAATGTTTCCTCTGTATCTTAAGGTGATTGTAATTACTTAAAATATTCAAGTGTGTGTATGAAGTTTAAATAGTCAGTTTTTGTTTCTGCAGCCCAAACAACAGAACTGATAATTGTATGACAGTTTTTTAGTTGCCATTGGTAGTGATTCGTCACTAAGCCAAAACAACAAGATACACCATCTGATGAATATACAAAGTAACCTTTTACAAGTCAAATCTGAAATTTTTATAAACTTCTAAACTTTCCTTTCCAACATATAAATACTGGTTTTTGTTTACTCTACTAGGGGCTCCTGTGTCGTGGGTCCGCATAGGACCTAACAGTGTGTCCTGTTAGTGATGATTACGAAAGTGCAACAAAACTCTTGTTAAGTAAACACAATTTATGCTTGCTTTTTTAAAGTAATCTGTTTATCATTAATTTTCAGGCCAAGGACTTTAATAGGAAAGAGCTGAGAGAACGATCAGCGACAAAACGTTTCGTCCCTTTAAGCTCAAGACGTGGCAATCAGCGTAATATTAGTGGCTTAAGGTACATAACAGTTGTTCTACCTAGATTTAACCATTGGCTTTTGGATAAACAAATTTGCACTTTTACACAAATTATTGCTCACTGGTAAGATAAGCAAAGAGCAAAGTGTGCCTTAAACTTAAACCTCAAATAAGAGAGAATATTGTACATCAACACACTTTGAGAGAAACATGGAATCACCATCAAAGCCCTTTAATGCCTTCAGCACATGAACATACAACTTAACATGTTTTAGATTTTACACAGTTGTTTAATTTTTTTACAGGATCCAAAGTCAATGACAATAGTAAAATTTTTCTATTGTAAAAGCACTCCACAGATCATAAATTCGTAACAGATGTTTCCAAACGTTGAGTGACATTACAGTAAGAACATTTTAAAAGTTAAAATAAAATACAACATAATTTTTGTATAGAAAACCCCAATTCATGCATGCAATTTAAGGCACTAAGTTGTTAGACACAAACAAAGTAAACTGATTGTAGATTTCATTTATACGTTTGTGGCACCCCAATGTGTGGATTTTAAGGTTAATCTTTATTAAGGTTTTTAAATGAATTAGATGATATGTTTGTAACTGACTAAAAGATAAGCAGGTATTTTTAGTGAAAACAATTTTTAAAAGCCTAATAATCAATCACGGCTAAGTTAAGTTTCAAACCAATCAAAAGCTAGTGATTTTCAGCATCGAACAGTCAAAATTCTGATTACCAGGCGAGTAATAGGCTACTATCCAATGAGCCATATCGACTCTGTGCAACATATGGCAACATATGGCATATTCCTTGCTGAATTCGCCTCGCAACAAAGAAATAATCATGGATGTGCTACTAATGGAATGAAAATTAATGTCACAGGGATTGTTTAAATTTTGCTTACTTAATCTGACTTCCATTTTTAGCTGTAGAAAAAAATATTTCTCTGACAAGATTTTTTTCTGTATTGGAAAACTTCTACTACAACCTATGAAATGTTTTTTAATACACATTTTAGCTCGTGTAGTTCAAAGCAATATAGATTATCATAAAATGTTTTTCTTACAGGCCATGCTACGCAGAGACTTACGAGGATTGAAGACATAAAAACACCTCACGTTTGAAGATCGTAGGTTAACAGAAGATGGCATCGAGTGTGTATTAGACTATTTAAGACTTTAGTGAGTGAGTTTTAATGTGTAAAGTCAACTCTAGAGATAAGATCTGAATTTTGTTTTTTTTAATTACTACCACAAATTGTAGTAGCTAGAAAGTATTATCTTCTTTAAAAAAAAAATAACAAGCTACAGTTCTATTTGCATCAGAATACATACTTGAGATGAAACAAAGCTATTTAAACAAATAATATTTGATTTTTTTTAAGTAGGGCCAAGTTTTCATTATAAAAAATTGTTGTCGTTGTAATTGTTTGTGTTTTTTACAGATTAATAAAATAAGTGTATTGTATTGAACGGTGTAAATGTATTGATATCATAAAGTAGAAGTTACTTTATTTGTCAAAATAAACGGTCTTTTACCTAACATTAAATACTATTTTGATTACATGTGTCTAATTTAAGTTTATAGCTTAGATTATGTCCTTGAAAATTATCATTGTTATAGACTAGCCGAAGACAATTTTATATTTAACTATTTTGACTTTTGACTTAATGTAACAATCTAATGTAAAGTATTGATCACCTTCTAGTATTTCAACTAATGTATAAAATAGTAAACTACCCTAAAATAAGAGACAGAACCAACAACTAGAAGTCTAAATTAGAAGTCAAGTTCAATTGATTGATAATTCAATTCTGCAAGACCGGTATGCACACTTTCAAACTTTCATAAAAGTAGCTGAATTGAAACTGAATCAGAACTCGCCTCAGATTTTCCAATAGGTCTGCACTATTTAAAGTCAACGTTAATGGTGTGCTAAAGGAGTATTTTGGCTTTCTTTTTCAGCTCTGAAAATTATTTAAAAAATGTATATGCACATGTTTTAAAACTTAGGGTACGGTATGTACAAAATGATCATTAGAAGTTGTGTACAAATACTTTGCGGTTCCATAAACCTTGTTAGATTCATATTGATTCTGATGATTATTGATGTTTTTATGTTCTCATTTCTATCAGCTGCCTTCAGTCAAGTAGCACAACAGTTTATTCTAGAGATATAAGTACGTTTAGTTTTAAAGATTTTATGTTGTTAACATTTTCTTAGGTTTATCTCATAGCGTACTGATTATGCAATTATATGAGAGAATATAAACCTGTTTTTTTTCCTCTCAAAACATGCAAAGATGTTTTATTTTATGTTTATGAATAAATGTTCTCTATTCATACATTTTATTGGTTGTCTTTGTCTTTCCTCCTGCTAAATATTACACTTATTGTGATGAAGATCTTAAGACTAGGGCTGTATTTAGTTGAAATTTGTTCCTACTGTTGAGAATTACAAATATTGTGATAACTCCAGTTTGAACTTTAATATCTCTGCGATCATTCATCCGATTGTGTTGGAGGAAAATTAAATTGAAACATTTTAATATATTTTATGTGGGATCAATACAGTTTATTTCGTATTAGTTTCTGTCAGTCCAGATTAAATTAAGCAAAACAACACACTAGCGTTTGTCTACCATTTCTACCATGAACAATGAAAAACATTATTTTTTATTATACATGTGTCCCATAAGTAATGTGCCAAATTCCAGAAAATGGCTTTATGGGATAAAAACTACGATAAAATTTAGAAATAAAATATGCTTTGTTCCTAGATATCCGCCACTCGTATATTTTACAAATAAATTTTAATTTTGAACCTTTTAAACCAAAATTAAAAAGCATGTAGCTAAAAATGGTTAAAACACAAATAAATAGGCTTACATTGAACAGTTTTAGTAAATTATATTTTTAATAAATTAACACATGAAAATACAAAAAAATAAACAACACAACTGAGAACCATTTAACGTGACAACTCGTTGAATGTGTTGATGTAAATGAGGAAACAAATTAAATATGAAAAAGCTAACAAGATAGAATGTTTACAGTTAAAACAATAATTTTATAAATTTTCCATTGTATGACACAATCAAACCTCTTTCTTGTCACCTCCCTCATTCTTCCATTTATCCCATGCCATGATTTTTATGATAACACCACTGATCAAAACATTGAGAAAAATCACACTTTATGTCTCATTGTGATATCTCATGGGAGTTTTAATTGGCCTGTAAGTGATTATTGTGGGAATTAAAAACATCTTCTCTGTAAAAAAAGTTGGAGAGAAACAGATGAACTAAATACAATCTACTGCAAAAACCCTTAATGAAAAATCCCCCTTGGATATAGGAAAAGAAAACAACTACTTTAAACACCTCAACACTGAACTTTTTGCAAGGCCAACACAGTATATGTGACAGCTATATCCCTTTAATACTTTAGTACTTGTGTCTTCTTCCAGGGCCATAAAAACTATTTATTGATTATTTCATGTATTTACTGAAACAGCCCGTCCAGTCTTCTCATTGAATTTTAGTGTCCCCCCAAATTCCTGTGAACATTTTCAAAGACTTTCCTTCATAGAATTCCTCAAACCTTACTTTAAAATGCAGCATGCATCAGGCTGATTTCCATTAGCCGCTAGCCACAAATGAAATGATCAGCATTTCTTACCAACCAAAACAAAAGAACTAACTAAATAAATGATGATCGTAGCCTAACCTAATCCAACAGTTGAAATTTTTTTTTTGTAACAGTTTTATTAACAATCTGTTTTGCATTAAAATAAGTAAATATTATGGCATTTTTAACAATAAAATAAAAATTTGAATGCATGAGTTAGCAGCTAAACAGCTTTAGCACTAACAAAAAAACAAAGAAAATAAATTTCAGAGCTGTTGTACAAATTGAGTCGGAAGGTCTAAAACATTTTCTCTTTTTAGTCTGTAGACATGTTGACTGTTGTCTAGGAGGTTGAGGGCCAAATGCCAAATGGTTCGGGTGATACTCAAGCTTTGAGATGTATTTTTTACTGCAGCTCGTAACTTCTTCAGTAACAAATGGAATTTTGCAATCATTGTGAATGGTGACGTTGGAATATAATGGTGAGGTTGGAAGTTGAAAATAACGAAACAAGACTAACAGCAATGCAACAATGGAACTCAAGAAACACATGTTTTTAACCATTGATCGTCTGTGTCAGCTGATTGGGGCTGTTTACAACAAATGTTTTTTTTAACGGACACCCGTCAAAGTGGGCTTCCTGGCCTCCTGGCACGCACAGCCATTATAGTACAGAAAACCTTCCGTCAAAGTGGGCTTCCTTGTACGCACAGATTTTAGTACAGAAAGCCTTACTTTGGCGCACACCAGTTTGTTTGGAACAACTCATGAAATGAAGTGACGAATAAAAACGATGACTGCCGATTACGTTGACAATAAAATGGTTTACATCTACAAGACAAAATTACTAAGTCATAAAGCTAAATGTTAGTAGCTTACTACTATAGACCCTATTTTATTAGACCTACAAAATCGGCTCTTATCAAATAAATGTAGAGTCTAAAATATCGGAGTTCAAAGTGCAAATGATATAGGTACTATAAGTAATTGTAAAAAGTATTGTTTCTTAGTATAAGTGGATTCGTAAATGAGATACAAAAACAGAATTCCTTTTTGTTAAACCCATTAGGATCATGATATTATTTGCGAACGTTCATTAGATTGGTGTTTTTTTTTAGTTCACGTTTAAGTTACTTGTATTATTGAGACTACGATGTTTTAATGAGTTTCCCAAATAAAAAATATTTTAGTGCTAAATTTGTTTACTATTTTTCTTGAATAAAATTAAACAAAAAATTACACATTACTAGGCTTGGCCACAATTGATTCCCTAGCCATAATTACTAAAAAATACTACATGACGCAAATGAGAGAAAGCTGACATTTGTCATTGTAGGGGACCACATTTTCCCAAAGCAGGGAAAACCTCCCTTACGTAGCCAACCCTGGACGCCTGCGCATCGATCAGTCGGGGAGTGGCGACGGGGTTGATGAAGAAAGCATTTGTTGCTCTTCTTGAAGGATGGATTTGAAAGGGAAAGTTGCTTTGATAACAGGAGCTGCGGCCGGAATAGGAAGAGCTTACTGCGAGGAACTTCTCAGGCATGGAGCTAAGGTAAACTTATATACGAGACTGTACTAGGGGTTTTTATAACTTCGTATGGAGGCCTACAACAAGGTAGGCGCGTTCATTTACCCCAATCGATCAAGCTTTCCATGACTGAATTTAACCTATAATATTTACAGCTAAATAGGGCCTAGTAGACCTTTGAGCATGAGCATTCGGTATCTACGGATTTTGTGTTTATTTGAAGTAACGTTTTGGTTTGTATTGCGGGCTTTTAGGTTACCGGGTTAAAATCAATAGGCCTGTGGAGTGAGTCAGGGGTTTGTTTGTTAGGTGCATATCTTGTGTTTTACTACAAAATATATTCGTAAACAGTAAACACTTTGAATGCTTATTTTATTACAGAAAAATTACATAAATTTTCTAGTTAGTATTGTATCCCCATCTCATGATGTTATGTACGATATTATAAAATTAGAAAGTATTGATATTTTATATTCCATCAGTTAGTCTATCACGGGAAAACTACAAGAATAATTAATTGAGCTGAAATGTTGTAGGAATTGAACCAATATAACAGATATGGACTAGTACAAATTTTTAACGAGGGCTCCATTGGGCTCCACCCCACTGGCCTCTGAAGTTCCAAATGTTATTAATATGAAACCGACCTGTTTTGTTGTCGTTTTTCAGGAGAAGGCCGTGTAAAATGCCTTCTGGGCCGTGACAGACAGACAAACAGAAATTGAGATAAGACTTTTTTCGGCTCCCTTAATGTATAAAATGTAAAAATAACAAAAATATATACAGACAAAAAGCTAATTTCATATATGTATAGATATCATTTAAATAAAATAGCTGTTAGGTTTTATCATATCAAAACTGGAAACTAAAATAATTATAGAATGTCATATTTAAGAGGTTAAAAATACAATAATGACAATTATAAACCATATATGGGTACTGGTACAGTAACTGTACATCAATGACTTTATATTTTCATATAAAACTCCTATGTAGCCTAATCACTTTTATAAATAGCTAAATAAAAAATTAATTACTGTACCTATTCATTTCTTCATCAATTTCCAGGTTTCAATATGTGATCTGAATGCTGAGGTTGGGGAGAAGTTGGCAGATCAATTGTGTACAAAGTATGGACATGGAAAAGCACTCTTTTGTCAATGTGATGTCACAGACTATCCTCAATTCGAAGGTAGGAATCTTCCCTCTTAATTTTAGGTGTAATAGCAAATTTAACATTACAGAATCATGTACTATAGTTCGGCCGCTTAGAAAGCGACCTCCTCCAGCATTGGTTTAGCATTAGCGCGCAGGTCGTTTTCTAAGCGGCCGAACTATACCTGCATTATTAGCTTAAACCACATGACGTTAATAATAAAGTGACACTGGGCTTCCCACTGATAAAAAACTAAAGAAAATATTTAAAACTAAAATATTTTAATGTATTAAAATTGTTCTTTTTACTTCGTATGTATCTAAATGTAAATTTCTTTTCATAATAGAACCAGAGCAGTGGTTTGCATGTGACATGCTATGGGTCCGAGAGATATTTTCTCCCTCTCCCTCCATCCTTTTTTTCCTCTTCCTTATGCCCCCAACAAACCTGAAACCTCTTGCTGGAACTATTAGAATAAAACCCTTGCAAACAACTGAAAATACGCTTAGTAAAATTGTATTTTTAACAGGCTTACATTTATTATATTAAGAAAATTTAATGATATCAAATTGATGAGTTATCAGCGTTTTTTGAGGAATTTCACTGATACTTTTGTGCATTTTCTTAGAATCCTTCCAGAAGACCATATCAGCTTTCGGAGGCCTTGATATCGTTATAAACAACGCTGGCATTTTCAACGACAGATTCTGGGAACTAGAAGTGGATGTTAATTTAGTGAGTTTTGATGCACAGAAGTTTATTTTGTAGTTTTGATAAGTATTTATAAGTTTTCTTTTAACTTGGCAGATGGTCAATGGATAACAAAATCAGATATTCTTCAATTAGAAACTGTACCATTTAGGGTTGTGGTTATGAAGAATATTATGAATAAGAGATGGTTTTTGACTTTTGTCTGTGCGTTTGTCCTCGCCCCTCGGTAAACACCAAAAAGTACTGATTGCCAAAATTTTACAAAATGTAGATAATGAATCTGGTTTTGTACATGGCCGGCCTCGTGTGTTGTAAATGTTGTAAAGTAAATGTTTCTTCCTGTGTGTACTATTTGTAAAGTATTTTACCTAACCCGCCATGTTAAACTTCCCTATCCCAAGCGTGATGTATATAACTTCGTTACTTCTCGAGTGATGTAAAGTTGAAAAAAACTCACTCGGTGATGTAATGAAACCCATTTAAATAACATTGAGTGCTTAACTTAAAAAATATACCTCTATGGAGCCAACAACGTTCAACGCTAGAAATCAGCTGTGCGCTTGAATTTTATTGTTATGTTTTGAAGAATTTTCCTAACCTAGCTTTTGTTTGTAAATGAACGTTACTGTTAGAAGATGAGTGAAACGGATGATGAAAAATATTGTTCGTAACCTCCTGTATATTGTCGGGTCAGGTAAAATCTTGTACGTTACACGTTACGCAAGAGCGTGTTTACATCACTTCAGTAAATTATGCAACTCGCTTCCGCTCGTTTCACAACATTCACCTGCGTGATGTAAAAACGCTCTTACTACACTTGTAAGGTAAATAGCTATTAAAATTTGACAAAGGCAAGTGCTGAGTAATTTATGTTTGACAAGAAGAAAAGTATTTGAAAATGGGGTTGAAACCTCAAAACAAGTCAGTAACCTTATTTATGATATGAACGATGTTATGGTGATAGATTTATAACATCGTTAATCATCCGACACAGTTAGAGAGCTCTGATGATGACCAGTTTTTGTCTATGGTGACTGGTATGATGATTTAAGGGTCTCAAAGCAAGTTTACAAATTTCAACCATTGACTTTATCAATTTGGATTTTATTACAATGCACACTTATTTATTTTGACCGTACAGAATGGTGTGATACGAGGGACATTGCTGGCGTTGCGGTTCCTTGGCAAGGACCGCGGAGGTCGAGGAGGGACTGTTATCACCACAGCGTCCACACTTGGCCTCCAACCTTGCGCTTGTGTGCCAATCTACACGGCCACCAAACACGCCATCATAGGCTTCACTCGCTCTCTTGGTGTAAGTCACCTGTGTTATTTTGAGTTCTATTGTAATTTGTTAACGAAATGTTTCCAATCAATAAATCAGTTAAAATGGTAGTCAGGTTTGAAGCACTGATAATATGCTTGATGATAAAGTTTTAACCACATTATTCATTAGTTAGTAGAGAGGTAAAAACACCTAAGTGCAAGTTTTAGACTGAACATGAATGGTAGGGTGAGGGCATAATGGAGGAAGATGATTTTTGTAGCTATGTTGGACCAGCTATTTCCTAATTCAATGCCCCTCTTCTACCATCTGCAATCTTCCCTCCTCTATTCTCCACATTGCACTTGCCTTTCTTCTTCATGTCGCTCTTTTATCATCTATTCTCCACATTGCTTTTCCCTCTCTTCTTCACATTGCTATTCCCTCATCTATTTGTCCTCTTCTAGATATCCTTCTCACACATCTTTTTTCTTTGACATTCTCTCTTCTAGCATTCTTAGTGAATTTGTTTACTATCTTAATTCCGCCTTCTTCTTCTACGTTAATAATATACTCCCCCTCTTGTTGTCTTTAACTACTCCTCTTCATCCCTAACAAAATATTATTACACTTTCATTTACTGTAAATAAACCTCTAAATATAACGCCATTTTGTATCTAGCTCCATTCTCTTTTAGGTAGGTATGTTCCATTATTCCATTCCTTAAGTAACTAATTTTACTTATAAAATAAATTTACTCATTGTTTATTTTGTGTAAAGTTATATGAGAACATTGCATGGGTATAATTTCCACAGGACCCTTTCCACATGAGTCTGTCGGGTGTAAGGATGATGGCTCTATGTCCTGGAGCCACTCGGACAGAATCCAATGCAGATGAAATTAAGAAAGGTCTCCTCTTCCCCGACTACGAAGCCGCTTATCATCGAGACTACGACAACAGGGTTCATCAACCGTAAGTAGTTGCGTTGTGCGTTGCTTGGAAATTAAGTTTATATGATAAAATGATTGTTAGAATTGCATCGATTCTAGACCCAGTTTGTTTTTTCATTGGACTATCTATTATCAGTACTGTTATAACAAGATCATGTATGGTAATTACAAAACACAACTAAAAAAACTAAGATCAACAATGTTTTTTAAAAGTTAGCTTGGATTGTTAATCTTTTTGACCTACCAGGTTGTCAGTGTTTTCAGCAGTTCAAAATCATCGACTTCTAAAGTTGTCTTTTGTTTTCAGGGTAGAAGCTGTTGCCAAGGCACTCATTCACATCCTACAAAAGGGCACAAGTGGGTCTGTCTGGGTCGTAGAAAACCAACAAACACCCCGGGAGGTAAAACTACCTGCCTCCATCTAAACTGTTCAACCAACTTGTACAAATTTTTATACAGTTTTTATTATCCAGTTCTTGTAATTTCTTGTCTGGTTGGTGAAAAAACCCGCAGAAAGGTCCTTTAACTTCAACCATCGATTTCGGAAATTAAATTAGACATCCCATCTACATGGATTAACTGAAGCCAATTTTTACTTATAAGATAGTTCAATAAGGACCTCACAGAGTTTGCTATAGTAAAAATGGTATTTTCTCTTTAAGTTTTCCATATTTTAAACATTTATTTGACATAAAAATTGCTATGAACTACAGTAATTTGTCATTTCAGATTAGCTTTTAATGTGTAAAGATTGAAACTACAGTAGGCTCCCAATCTAGCTACCTTTCAATCTGAAGGCGTTGTTGCAGTCTGGTATAAATAAAACAATAGTTTTGGCAACACACCATTTATTAATATTTACTACACACTATGTATTAATGTCCATTTTAAATTGACTCCCTTTCAGAGACCTTGTCAAAATAAATTGAAATACTAATAAATTGGTTTAAAACACGATTTTATGGAATCCAATTGCTGCTAAAGGCAACTTTTTTTTTCTCGTGTCTACCCAAGTGGCAATTTTAATATTGAAGTCTAAATTAGTTAAAACGCTTTCAAGGAAAAGCGGTTCAGACCCATTAAAGTTTTGTGGATGTGCCGAGAATTGAATTTTGACTTTAGTGGAGAAAATTATACTGTACTACTGGCCTGAAGACGACTTGTCAAAACTCGTAACCTACAAGATCGAAGAAGTCTTCTTGAGGTAAACTAGTTGCCTTAACAGTTGGATCACATGAAGGCAGACCAACTTAAATTACACAACTCGAGACAGTTTAATTTAATTTGCAATTTAAAGACTATTTGTTACCCTAAAAAATTCTACCAACCAGACAAGAAACAGAAATACCTCTTGGCTTTTGCATTTAGTATCCAAGCTATACCAAGTGGACAAATGTTTGTATTATTTTTCTACGTTTTTTACCTTTTTGAACGATAGATAAGACGTGTTGGGAAAACTTATACAAACACGTTATACTGTGTTCTTACATTGAACCTTAATTTGAATTTTACATGCTTATACATTTTAATTAATTCATATTTGATGTGGTAATTAAATAAAGTAATCTTGCATGCATAACGGATCTTCGTACAGTTTTAAGGAAACAATGGTTTATTTCCAGAAATTTCAAATTGTATATATGTATAGTTTATGTCACTCAGGTTTATTATGAGTACATTTATGAGATGAAGAGAAAACAATAATAAAATTTATAGTATCATAATTCTAATTAACAACATCGGTTATATTATATATAAAATACCCCCGCCGCAGCAAACCTGCAGACTAAGCGAATTTCCATTTCCCTGAATGGATTTACACTAAAATGTCTCCTTAAAATTATCACATTTATTCCCTATTTAAATAGAATCAGTTTAAAACATACTTAGGTTTGCTGCAACAGGGAGGGTAAAAGTGTTTTTTATGTAAAATGTTAATAGTTAGTAAGAAATAAAAACATTTTCCAAATTTGGGCAAAATATGTTTATAAACAAGCAAACTACAACAGTTTACTTATTCTCCATAAGAATAACATGGGAATTTTAAATTTACAATTTTTTGGAATTTTCTCCGTAACCATTAGGCGCATTATAACGCTTCAATATACTAAATTATTTGTTTTTTTAAGCTCTACAAAATAGTTTCAAAAGAAATTGCAAAATTTTATGTTTTTTGGGTCAAAAATGGGAAAAACCCATTTTTACCCCATAACAGCCCCCATAAACCCCCGTTCCCATGGTCCGATCATGCTGGTTCGCGAACTCGTTCGAATAAACGTAGGTTTACACGTTTGTACCAAATTTCATCAAAATCGGATCATTTTTGCTCGAGTTATCGCGCTAACGGACACATATATATATATATATATAAATATATATATATATATATATATAAATATATATATATATATGAATTTAAACGGATGGTGTTTTTGACCTCTAGGGACCTCAAAACGAAAAAAAAAATCGGTCCCGGGTCCAGGTCTTACCGTGAGTACTACGGTAATAGCTTATTCCCTATATGGGAAATTCGCTAATAAAACAAAAAAGTTTTTAAATACTCAAAACATTTTTAGGAATCAATTAACCATTGATAAATTTGCTTTTTGACAGACTAACAACAAAAAAAGTAAATAATAAGAGGTTTACTTACCAAAGTTACCTTAGGGATTTTTATGTTGAGGTACGTAAACCACTAATTTCTGTAATGAAAAATTCCGAGGCAGTAGTGACAAATAAATATATATATGTTGAAAATTGAGTACTGCACATACTTTCTTCCATACAAGAAATTAAATATGCTATATTAAACTTTCTATTTTAGAAAACAACGCCAGAACATCAATAGCCTTGCTTTGATACTATCAGTCCTGCAATTTCCATCCAATAACACTTTAGGTGCTAGGGTTCCTGCTCATTAGTCATTATTTATTCTAAACCATGTAAATGTAATATTCTTTGTCCATTTAGATGTGTTTATGTAAAAGAAATAATACTTAGTGTTACACTTTTATACTGATTAAAAAAGTGTATTAGAACCTTTAGTTGATAGTTGTGAATACTTTTACATTAATAAAAATAAAATACTATGTTAACAGAGTTTAATCGTTGTTAAAATTAAGTAAAACTTAATTTTACGCACATTATTAATTTATCATAGTTTATTAACTGTTTGAGTATTAACTTTGACTAAATTAGCACAAATACATTTAGTTTGAATGTAGTAAAACCCTGTTTAGTTGTCGTTTGATGTACCATTAGTTAAATTTAATTATTTTTTCAATAATGTACTCTTTATTTTTATTGATCGTACAAAAACAAATTTAAATATAACTATAGGAATTGCTGTGCTAAGCCATAGCAAAACATTTGGTTTTATGATTTCTCATTAATTTATTTTGCAACCTTTAAATATCCTCAAATAGAATAGCAACTATTAACTTTATACATTGTAGATGAATTGTTCTTTGGTCAATATCAAGAAATATTGACTTTGCCGACTCTGTGAGTAAACAACTAATTTGGGTCCAAAAATATGTAGACAATAGAAAAGATTTATTATTGATAAGAATTAACAACTCTTTCATTTATACGAGTTGAGTTCATACAAAATTACCAGCTAAAAAATACTTTGTCAGAGACAAAGCTAAAAACTGTTATGTCTGAGTAAATAGGTCCATCTGTGAAATTAGACTAAGTATCACATAATCAAGGATCGCATCTTGATGATTCTGATTGTCCTGTTTTCATAGTATGTGGGAGTAGAGCAGGGCCTCATTGGCTTTTTAGTTTAAGGTTCGCAATGGATTTTTTAAAATTGATTTTAAAGCGAAATGATGCTAAGACAGTCAAGGTTGCTTTAATAAATAAGCAAGGGTGACAAAAATTCCCTCACAAGTAAGGGTAGAAGAGGGCGCAGGTATCTTTTGGGCAACGCATTTTAAGCAAATTGCGGGCTTGGTACTAGGACTAGGTGATATTGTACTAAAGGTTATTTAAGAACTCAAACTAACTTTAAGGACGAGCTGAAGAAGCCAGGCAAGATACATAGCTTGCTCTATGAATTTCTGCATTACGCTCGTCACACACTGTGTACGGTCCGGTGAAATCGGATCAGGCATGCCAGAAATAAATTTTGTTAAAACTAACTAGTTCTTGATTAAACACTTCTTCAACTGACAGTGTATCCGCTGTCCTCGCCTGGACTGCTAGCCTAGACTGGAACGTCTGATGCAGTGTGTGGAAATTTGCCGGATCCGGCAAAAAACACGGGATCAGAATAAACCAGACCGGAGGCAGTGTGTGACAAGCCTTATGATTTTATTTTCAGATCTTTAAGTTTAAGATCATAGATTTTCTTCCTAAGAGCTGTAATGTTCTTGCTATTATTATTTCCAGTTAAGGCCTCCCTGTTAAGTGTGATTTCGGCTTCCTCAACTAAACCAAAGGAACATTCACAGAGTCCAAAGTCAATAAATTATCATAATTTTATTGTTTTAACAATGCAAGTTAAAAGAGTGCTTTTTAGATGCACAAGGGAAATAGTTTGTAAAGTGTTATAACTTTAGATATATGTTCCTTAACTTTGGTTGTATCAAATACTCCATGTAGCTTTAAGGATGCATTTATTTATAGCAAATGCTTGTTGTGACAGCTTTAATTATGTTAATGCAGTGTTTTACCTTTACTTCTAAGAGACCAAAATGTTTTAATGTGATATTACAAAATAATAATAAACCTGTTTTATTACCATCAATGAGTTTAATTTGGATCCTTGTTCTATTAATGTTGTTAGAATAAATTAAAATAAAACTAAGAATAACCCTTATAAAACCTTTGATGTAAGTCAACAATTAAGAGAAAAACACTACATGACGTTTTAAATTAATTTAATTGTATTTACAGAATATACACTTTTTTTACATCAAAACCAAACAATCATTGTTACCTCCTATAAGTTCTTTCTTGCTCAAAATTTTGTTTAGCCAAATGTGGATTGAACTGAGAACTGTATTTCTGTTGTATAACAGGTTCAGGTGGTTTATCTTCAGGTAGAGATTCGCCTCTCAACTTTGCCAAAACCCTTTCAGCTCTAAGTTTTTCTTGTTGCTCTCTCTGAATTCGTTTAGCTCTTAGCTCTTCCAAGTTAGATTTTGGTTGTTGTGGCAATTCTTCATTGTTACTACTGTCACTTTCATGGTCGGATGAATGTTTGTTATGTTTTTTCTTACGGTGTGCTTTCTCTTTTGATTTGGAACGTTTATGCTTTTTAGATTTTTTTCTTTTGTGTTTATTCCTTTTACTTTCACTGTCCTCATCTTCCCTTTTTCTTTTCAACTTATTAGATGATTGTATTTCAGTTTTAAGCGGTGAGGTGTATTTATTTTTTAGGGTAACTTCTTTTTGTGCTATTTCTTTTTTTGGTCCTGAAGACATCCCAAGATACCTTCTGAAACTATTCAAAGGATCGATGAGTTGTTTGGATTTTACATGCATTTCTTTATCTACCAGTTTCTTCTTCTCTGCTTCTGGTAAAAGTCTGTCAGGGGTTTTGTTCCACCATGAAATATTTCCTGTAGCTTCTACTGTATCTTGGCCTAAATATGTCAAGTAACCTATCTGTTTTTCATACTTTTCCTTCTCTTCTTTTTTCTCATTTTCATATTCTTTATTTGTTCCAGTGAAAGCTATAAGGCCGTCTTCAATTTCTTGGAAGAAGTTTATATGTCCGCCTTTGCTGCTTGTTTCACTTGACTGACTGGTTTCAGGTTTAGTGTCTCGGCCATCGTAAACTGCACGAGCCTTTGCTCTCAATAAATTAGTTCGTGCCTCTTGCTCCTACAATGAAAATTACATACAAAAATTTTCAAGGTACTTTTTTATATCGTTTTTACCTATTTAAAATTGAATAACTCTTTGATAAGTGTTTTACATGTTGACACTACCTATTGTATTGCTATGATTAAATTATGCAACATACCTAGAAAAATAAGAAAACTAGCAAAGTTATATTTTATGAATGTTTTCTTATCATATTAAGTTTAAATAAACGGTATCAGCAATCTGACACATACTTACTCCCATTAGCTTGTCAACAACCTTTATCAGGGTAGGAATATGTCAGCCTTAGTCACTAACAAGACTACAAGATCGCGCCACTCATCCTAGACTCATCTCGATTCATACTTGGTTTAAAATACCTACGGTACTTTGTATGGTCGAAATTTCATTGAAAAGTAAAGTAAAGTATTAAAAGTAGGTGGTGGGAGTTTACCTAAATAAAAAAAAATGATCTAAAACAAACTAAAGAAAATCATTACCCGTAATTATTTTAATACTAAGTTGCAATTTTGGACCTGGAGGGAGAATCAAAAATTAAATAGTTAAGATTAATTCTTTAAAAGCTCAACGCTTGTCTAGTGATCAGAGAATTGCCAGTTCGATCCTGAGAAGTCATAATCTTTTTGATGGTTCAAAACTACTTGACCCAGCTGTCCTTGATCATTGGGATTTTAATGGGGCTTCTGGCTAAAGAACCAGCATATTTTAGTCAGTAACATCATTTCATTCATTCAACTGTTTATCCTTCTCTTAAAGTATTCAACTTGGCGTGTTTTGGTTGTATGCTATAATCTACTCTAATCTGATCAAGAAAATTTTGGATTTCTCAGAAGCCAACCAAAAATGTAAGAAATAGCCTAAATTCTTTACCGAAATTTAACAGACACTTCTTTTCTAAGCTGGAGAATCCAAAATCTAAATGTATAATCTAACTTTCACTCAAAGCAAAGAAAATAATAAACACCTTCAGCTCTTCCGAACACAACGTGGAAAAAATTACAAGATAAAAAAAATAAGTAAAATTCTCAAATTATGATGTAAGAGTGAGGTTGGTATAAGTGAATATACTATAAATCTACTGGGAACTGGTATAATTCATCTATATTTATAATACAGTAGCCTATCTAATTTAAGTACAATATTTAAGGCTATGAAAAGACTTACTGCAAGCTTAGCTCGTTGCTCACGAGCCTTTTCTTCCTCAGCAGCCTTTGCCTCGTCCCTGCGAACTCTTGCTATGTTCTCTTTGGTTCTGACGTGCCATCTAAAGAAGAAAAATCCAATAACATTGTGACTTATAGTTTAACTGCAAGCCACATAAATTAATCGTTGTTAAGTACAAGTCTGATTAGATGTTGTGCTATGCAGTTTACTTCCTCTTATCCAGACACCTTTTAACTGGACTACATTTGGCAGAAGTGACATTTCTTTAACCTGGCAATTGTTATCAGAACACCAGTTTAACCGACTGGATCGGCAGGAAGTGGACGGTACTGAAACAACTTTTCTTGCAGGAATGGTTTAAGACCAGTGATCATATGTCTAAACACAATGCTCTCCCAAATTTAGGTAAGCTAGAAAATTTCGGTTACTTTTCAAGTGATTCTCGTGGCGAGCACAAGTATCGTTAGTAACGTTCACACAGTGCATACTCTATGCAGTTGTTGTGAACGTTTGTTCTTAACATTTAAGTACAGTATAATACTGTGTATGGGCCACTGCTGTATGCATTTACTTTTCTGTAGTTGTGATTCTCCATAGGGTGTATTTAGTTTCCCACCACATTCATAATGAATTACCAAATCATTATTTTTGGCTTAACTTATATAAAAGGCAAGAAAAATTTGTAATATAATTTTGGGGACGTCGGTTTAAAAGAAAAAAAAAACATAATTCAGACAGGTCTCGGTTCTGAGGAGTTAAGATAACAGGGAGTTACTTTAAAGATATTAGGACATTCTATAAATAACTTTATGTCATATTTTTAATGACATTGCCGTGTAATTAATAAGTTAAATAAATAAAAAGCCTACATATAAGTAAGTTATATGGATTAGGTGACTGGAAGCTGAGAGCCCCACATGAGCTTTTGTCTACACTAGTCTCTTATTAGAAGAATTGAGTGTTGAGTTATTCATAATGCTCCACTGATGGTAAAAATGCTGCTGGTCCAATACAGAGAATATTTTATTTTTTGAGCGGAGCGAGCGAAGCTCTTATACTACACTCCTGCTTTTGTTTTACAAATACTCCTCCTGAACGGCTGAAGCGATCTTCACGAAATTTAACACAGTCATAGTACCCAACCATGGGAAGGTATAAATCTGAAATGGTACAAATCGGACCATAGGAATTTTCCCTACATGAATGCAAACTTTTAGAAATTTAACATGGGCCTTATGGGTTAATTGGTTGCCATGACATTATTTGCGAGTCAACACTAAAAAGTAAACAAGAGCCTCGACATATGTTAGTCAACAAATCTACCACATTATAAATACAGTACAAAAGAAAAATATGTGATGAATACTAAAGAGTATATTAGTTAATTGCATGTAATACGAATTGATTAACAATCAGTTCTATATTGAGTGATTAAAATCATGACGTTTATATTTAATTGTATAATCGTTATGTTCTTTTTAACAAGTTAAGTTGGAAAAATATATAGGTTTCAGCTACTAGAAAAAATAAGGTTTCAAGTTAAGCAAACTGCTTATTTTGATGTTATTATAAAAGTAATGAAACGTACCAGTAAACCAATTCCTAAAGTTTTCACTTATTCTTTTTAGTCTACATTATAGTCGTATTGATAAATTTTACTGCACCAAAGGGAAAATTTGAAAGTGGTTACAATACGGTATATTTCTTACTTGTAACTGCTAAAATAAAACTAGACCTAAGTTATATGTCTATACTTAAAAACGAATTGATAATTTTAAAAATCGATTAGCCTATCTCAATTATTTGCTGTTAGGAAATGATTACCACAAAAAGTTAATGTATTTATAAAAAATGCATTCTTATCACAAAATTAAGTTATAAATGTCTAAAAAAAACTGATCAGTGAAGTTAAGAGAAAATCATATTATAACAAAATCAGAAGCAAAATTTTAAGGCCGCCGAGGAGATTCGAACTTGCGATCTCAAATAATAATCGTTATTGCCTTTTAATAATGCAGGTATCGCATAGGTTTACCATGATTCATTTGCAGGATATAGAAATTATTGAGCAGAGCGTAGCAAAGCTCTTATATCATTGACTTTAACTTCTCTTATCATACACTCCTGCTTTTGATTAATAGCATTGAGCATAATTTACTACAAAATGAATAACCATAAGGTTTGCCAGAATTAGGCGAATGCACCATATTGCGTTTGGATTCTGTAAATAACTTTTTCAGTATTTTATGTGAGCAAGACGTGCCATTAATGTAGACTTTGAATATGCACTGCAATTCCTATTTGCAGTCTACAAATAGGAATTCCATTAAGGTGAACCAAATATAACACTCATGCATATGTAATCTTTGCTCATAGTTTCGATACTGCAATTAGACAATTCTTTGACATGAACCCGACGTATCATTTGACTTTGAATACTGCACATAGACATCCCATATAAGTAAAGCAGAAGTAGGCCTAAGCCAACCATTGACTTCGGATACTGCAATTCGGCATTTTATCTAAATGAACGAAATAAATGGACAATTGATTTAGGATACTGCAAGTAGATTATTCATTTACATGCACCATTGAGTTTGGATACTACAAGTAAACAATCCGTCTACGTGAACCGGACGTACCATTGACTTTAGAATCTGTAAATAGGCATTACATTTATGCGAACCAAATATATCATTGACATTGAATTAATATGCTGGCTCCGCTCAATATTGCAAGCAGACAACTGCATTGTACACCTAGTTATTTTTGGCATTTTAAAATTACAAAACTGACACTCATGTTTTCTTTTATAAAAGGTTTTGTTTGGATTACCCAACATCCTACTTAATATTTATCTGAGTTGTACCAATTATTTATCTTGTTGTGTGGATATTTTTGTAAGGTAAGTTAACTTATCTGTCAAATTAATATCTTGTCGATTTCCCTACAAAATTGACTTATACGAGTATCAATTGTAACAATCGATTCAACCAATTAAGTTTGTTTATTTAAATAGACTATCTAAAATATGCCAAGGTTTGTTTAGCGTTGCAGCTTGTTGTACGGCAATTCAGTTATAAATGCAAAGGCAGGAAAATAATTAGCTGATCCGAGGATTAGGTTACCTTAGTCAACAATTCTGAGCTTCATTCGATTGTTTACTTCGATATATCGTTTGGTTAGTTAGCTTAGGTTAACCTTACCTAACTAACCAAACGATATATCAAATAATCGACATATCAATCGATATTTTCATTCCGTTGTTTGTTCCAACTGATATGGAAGTGTAACACTCTTTAAATATAAGAGAGTATTCTTATCTTGTTATCACAGTATTCTTTAACTGGACTTTATAATATGTACCTAGGATATATAGTATACTTATACCGTTGACTGTAAATCCTTAAGGACTTACATCTTAAGGATTTACAGTCAGCTTTTACTCTACAATGTTTAATATATATTTTACCTTTTCTTCGGTAGAATGTTCATGGTACTAGGTGACAATCAACTGAAAAAATCACTCTCTCGTTCAATTTAACTTGAATAATTAATGTATTTATCACCATCATTAAAAATAAAAATAGTATTAGAGGTTATGTTTAGGCAGTCTGTTTCTCCCCAGTTCCCACACTGACATTATGATTTTTGGGTTAATTGGTACCTTTCAGTTCAGTCAGTCCAGTCCTTTCAGTTTGTAAGTCCTCAAGTCTTTTTATTATTATTATCATTATCAATCGATCTAGTAACAGAGGGTTAGGGTTCACTTACTCTACGAATCATTGACACAATGAGCCTCCAAATATGTAATTCTTAAAACACATGGCTCACTTACTCTACAAATCATAGTCTATACGAGCTTCGTAAATAATATTGAAGGTTCACTTGCACTACAGGCTCGTATACTATACGAGCCAATCAAAAATATCAAATAAATGAAGAGGGTTCACTTACTCTACAGATCATAGTGCCTATGAGCCAAGCGTATGAATTCTTGAATAATTCAGGAATAAGCTCGTATAGTATACGAGCCAAAATACTGAATTTAAATAAATTTCAGGAGTAGGCTCGTATACTATACGAGCCTATTTCATGATAACTATTACACAAATAGAAGACGGCTCACTTACTCTACAGTTCATTGGCACAATGATCTGTAGAGTAAGTGAACCCTCTACAAATATTAGAAGGCTCACTTACTCTACGGTTCATTTAGCTACTCGTCGCGCGGTTTGCAGCGCATCGTTGCAGGCGTGTATGGTAAACCAATACCGCAGTTCTGCCGTTCTGCCTTACTTCTGCCGTTTACTAGTCTTGCAGCGTGAAAGGGAGCTTGTTATGTTAATGCATTGTTGAATTTTTAACTTGTGTACTCGTTGCTAGAAATCAAGCAATTATCAAGTACCGGTATTACGGGAGCTATTTTAAGAGTTATTACAGACTTAATTTTCAATAAATTAAAAAGACTCACGTAAAAGCTTATGCAACTAATGTAATTACTTACTGTGTTATGAACATTTGTATATAATTAAAGCTGTAAATATTTTAAAATTGTTTAGAAGATTGCCTTTTTAGTGTTTTCTACAAACGTGTCTCAACTTATACACATAGTGGACTTATATACATATGGTGGAGTGGTAATTTATATTTCTAATCATTTAACTTTTAAGAAAATTGTGAACGCTTTCAGTCACGTGAAGTTGAATGAATTAAACTGACATTAGTTTTTACCATAAATGATAAACCTTTTGAAATTGACTTAATAGCTTTGTATAGAAACTATAAATATGATTTTTATTTTATTCCGCAATGATTTGCAACGTATTTTGAGTAATTGTAAAAACACAGCTATTATGTTAGGAGATATAAATTTATGCATTTTAGAACAAAATAACGTGTAACTGATTATTTAAGTATAATGAACTCATTTGGTTTTGAGTCGTTTATAAATGAGCCAACTTGGGGGAGAGAAAATTGGGTAAAGTGTTTAGACCATGTATTCATCAGAAGTAAGACTAATTTAATTTTTCATAGTAATTTAGAAAACTATGACTTTACTGATCATGCTGGAGCTAATGTAAATTGCGTAACAAGTTGTGATAGTGCTTTGAAAGAGGAGTTTGTCAAGGCTGTAGATCATTCAATTTTAAAAAGAAGGTTGGCTGAAGTGAGCTGGATGCCAGTGTTTGATTGTGAGGATGTTGATAAATCTCCAACAGTTTTTTACGATATTTATAATAAATGTATTGAGCAATCAAGTTTTTTAAGGCCTATTAACAGTAAAAATAGGCATCGAACTCCATGGATATCGGACACACTAATTAAAAAGATAAATGAAAAAAACAGACTTCACTCTCGATTGAAAAAGCACTATGACATACATTTGTTTAATAGATATAAAGAACTCTCTAGAGAATGTTCTAATTTGAAAAGACGGGAAAAAATTAATTATTACTCATCTAAAATTGAAGCAGTAAAGGGTGACTCAAAGTCTTATTGGAATATATGCAAATCGATTATGAGAAAGTAAAAAAATGAACTAACATCGATTAATATAGATGATAAAATTGTACAGGTTGAGGGTAAAGAAAAAATTGTTGCTGACTCATTTAATAACTATTTTACTGGTATGCCGGATAAGCTGATTAGAGAATTGTATGGGCCGGGATTCCCCGCCATGCCGGATATCGGTCTAGCGTGCAGCTCAAGGTTACGTTTATCTGAAATTACTGAGGTAGAATTAGAAAGTTTAATCTTAAGCAAACCAAATAAACAGTCTGTTGGCTTTGATGGTATTTCCATAAATACTATAAAAGAAAATGTTAAGATTTTTGTCCCAATATTACGTCACATTTTTAATTTATCTATAAAGCTGGGTTACTTTCCTTCTAGTCTAAAAACAGCACTCATTGTTCCAGTATATAAGGCAGCTGATCCATTGCAAATTAATAATTACCGACCTATTTCACTTTTAAATACCTTTGCTAAGCTGTCAGAAACTTGTGTGAAAAGCCAATTAGTTAAATATTTTTCAGATAACAATTTATTTTCAAATAATCAATTTGGGTTCATGAAAGGTAAAAATACTGACCTAGCAGTTGAAATACATATAAGCGAGATAGTTAATCATGTTGATGAGCGTAAACCAACAATAGGAGTTTATCTTGACTTTACTAAGGCATTTGACTTAGTTAATCAAGACATATTATTACATAAACTAAAGTTATATGGAATTCAGGGCAATAGTTTTAAGTGGTTTGAGACTTTTTTTAATGAAAGAAAACAGATGGTTAAAATAAAAAACGTTTACTCAGATGTATGTTCTCAAAGGCTTGGCGTCCCTCAAGGGGGAGTGCTTGGCACAATTTTATTCACAATTTATATTAATGACATGTTATCAATGGATTTAAAATCGAAGATATATGCTTTTGCTGATGATACATCTTTAGTATGCAGTGCTAACAATTATGATTTACTGAGGATGAAAGTTAATAATGACTAGTGTACCTGTTGCTCGAATTCGAGCAATTGCGAAGCATTACAGGCGACTCAAAGATTATGGAAATACTCACGATCTACACAACAGTTAGATATAATCAAAATCTTTTGTAAATATCTTATCTTTTTTCAAAAAGTTGATCTTGTTTTTTTAGTGTTTAAGTGTAAAATAAAACATTATTTCTATTTCTTTTACTTGGCTGTGTTCTATGACTTTTTCTATGTTTCCATTGTTTGCAAATCGGTTATTTAAATGATTGCTCAAGAAATGTAGCCACAGTGTTAATTCAGTTTTATTTTTAGCCTATATCAAATTGTCCAAGATTTCTCGCTCTTTTCCATTGTAATAATTACCCCAACCCAAGTTTCGTCTACAGATGCAATATGCCAAAGAATATCACCTACGTACAATCTCCAAGAAGTGGTAAAAAAGGCAGAAACCAACCCATACAATAGATATAAGTTAACTCCATAAGAAATCATTTTTAAAGTTACTGTGATATCAGGATTTTCCACTGATTTGGTAATAGAGAACATTATATTGCAAAACATGAAACGATGCAGAAGAAAATCAATTTTAAAATCAGAAAAATCCATTGCAAATACTGTACTTTATTTTGACAAATTCCATAAAATCTGAATTTAAATATTAACAGCTGTTGCATTAAAAAGTAGTGTAAAATTATGCATATGGTCGTAATGTAAACAAATCTGAAGAGGCAACTTTAAAGGCTTCTGGGGCAGAGCCCCAAGGGAATTTACCCCTTTCCTTTTTTGATGGCTCATCTACAGACCAAGACCTTTCTTTAGAGACCAAAGTTACCAAGTTTCTACGCCCAGCCGTTCTCTCAAATTAGCTTTGACAAAAACCCCGTTTTCCTCCATAAGAATAACATGGGATGGGAATTTAAAGGCCATGGGGGCAGAGCCCCAAGGGAATTCACCATGTTTCTCTTTTGATGGCTCATCTACACAGACCAAGACCTTTCTTTAGACACCTCTACCGAGTTTCTATGCCCAGCCGTTCTCTCAAAATAGCTGTCACAAAGAAAAACAGTTTCAAATTAATATATAGATTAGTAGGATGAAATAAATCAACTATAAGAAAGATAAAGTAAATATATAAAAATAGGGCAGAAGAAGTAGAGTTACTTTAAAATTCATATAAACATCAACCCTCAATTAAACTAAAAGGGGTCAACCTAAACAAGAGCAATTTTGAAGTTTGAATAAAACAGGATTCAAAACGAATCCAAATAAATAAACCTGTTAGTTAGACTATTAATATAGACGTGTATATAATAATAGAGACAATTTCAAATATGAGTAAATAATTGAAAATTAGGGTGTTAACCACGTAAGCACGTATTTTAAATGTATGTTTAGTTAATATATATTATCAGAGGGATGAACTAACTTGTATGTAAATATTGGGTTTAATTTAGCTTAGAATGTTTTAAGTGTTTACGATTCATATAACTAATAACATTTAAGTGTCAAGGGAAATATGTTATTTCTTATCATTTGTATAAAGAAATTTTAAATACAATTTCAGTGTTAAGGGAAATTTTCTTTAAATATCCTTATATAAGAAACAGAGTATAAAAACAAAATAGGGTGTAAATAGTAATCTATAATATTAAAACGAAACAGTGTTTTTTTTATTTCACGATTCTGAATCAACCACTCGACGGATTTTCATGATTTTTGTGTTGAAAGTAAGATAATTTTGAGAACTAGGGAATGTCGAAGCTATAATTTTAGTTTAGGGCCCCAGATTTTTAGAAATTAAGTTTTAATTTTTTTAAAGTCTAGCAGCCGACGCTAAGATTCTAAACTAGCTTTTGGCATAAAATAATTTGCTTAACATAACAGCTGTAAACATTCAGCTTTTGTGTCACAAATTCAGCATTTGGATAAAAATGTAAAGACATACTTAGGGTTGACTTATTTATACTATGTGTAATGCTAATCATTGATACGTTCAATTCTTCTGTAAGAGGATGACAGATTAATTAAATATACATAGTAAGATACTAGGATGTTCAAAATATATTTAAAAGCAATCTTTGTAATCTTCGATTTGTTTAAGAGCAATATAATTTGTTTT